TCGGCGACAGCAGCAAGCAGTGAGATACATGAATGAATGCCTCGCCGCCTTTCCCACCTGGCTACGCAGAAACGCTGACCCTAAACCTTGAAAAATGCGTTGGCGTTAACTTCACCCGTGAGAGGGCAGACCCCGAGGACGGTGTTGCTTGCGGGCGCGCATCTTCTTGGTCCACATGCGCGAGTATCGTGGCGTGACTCTAGATCGTGGCCTCTATTGCACGAGCACGCCAAGGACCTTCGGCACAAAAATTCTTGCGAAGGCTCCCTCCTACGTCCCTCCTTGGTTCACCGGACCTATTTCCTCGCAGAAGCGTCTCCTTTTCACCGCTTGCATACGAAGTTTATGGGCCTATGCTTGCGAAACCTTTGCGGCACGCCGGTTCCGACCCTACGCAGATTTGGGCGGCCGAGAACCGAGCGGTGAGGACCGCCACGCGGCCGCATCTCCCTCCTCCCCTAACCGCCACCATAGGAAACAGTGTAACCTACGGGGCCTTGGGCGTGAGTCGTCAGCTGCCGGAGGAGATCCGCCGGAGGGCACACACGGCGCTCACGCAGGCGCTGGGCCCGAAAGCTCCGCGGGTCTTGCGCGAAACAGGCGGGCAGCGAACTGTGAGGTCCACCGACGTATTTTGCGCCGGAGGGCCAAGCAAGTGGCCTCCACGTTCCGGGCGCTACCGCCGCAGCTTCTTGCAGAACTCTGCGAGCAGCGGCGTGAGGTCCCAGCGGGACGAGTGAGGCCCGCCCTTAACAACTGCCGGGCACATTGTGCCTAGCCGCACGGACGCTTGGAGCAAAGTCGGCGCCGAGGCGCACATAGTGTAAATAGTGTAAATAGTGCTAGATTATATAGTGTCGTGTTGAAAGTGCGTGTGTCAAGTTAAGTAGAACATAGTGTGAATGAGCGTGTGAATGAGCGTGTGAATGTGCGTGTGAATGGAAAAAAAAATCCAAAGAAAACTAAAACAAATAAGCATGTAGTATAATACAAAATCATGTGCTAATCTTAGGTTGCGGCCAAAGTGCGGCTCCATCCATAGGTTAAGTTAGAATAAGTTAGTAATGTAAGTTCTGCCCCTTTTTTGCCGCATAAGCCATAGAGCTGCGGCGTATATTGTACCCCAAGAAGGAAATAAACTCCGCGTCGCAGGGTTACTGGCGGGGGGAAAGTTGAAAAAAAATGGCTGGGCCGATGCCTGTGCGGACGAGGCGCTCAACGCGTGGCGAAGATTAGCACTGTCTTTGCGAATGGGAAACGGCATACGAGCACTTTTGGCGCCGTGCGTGGCAACTGATGTCGTCAGCGATTAACAGAAAATATGGCGCGGAGGGTACAGCGAAACATTTTTCTGTCTCTGGAATGAGACTGACAGTGAAAGTATTGTACAAGTACCATGAGAACAATACTCGTGGAAGAAAACGCGCGACCCTCGCGAGACTTCTTCCTTCCACAAACTTTGAAGTCGCTTCGCGGATTGTTAAACGTATGAACGAACCATCGACGGAATTGGGACCGGTACTTGAAAATATGAACGTTTTCACGATTTCACATTTTCACGTGAAATATCACGTTTTCCAGCTTAGTAGCTGGAAAACGTGATAACGGGAAACAAGCTAACGAGATTCCCCTGTGTTTATATTATCGAAATAAAATAATTAAACCCCTTTTGCTTTTAGATTTATGTGTTGTGGCTAATATAAATCAAATTACCACGTTTTTAGGTATATTAATCATTCATGTTTATAATATAAATCAGATTAGTCAGTTGTAGGTTTATTAATCATTGACAATCATAGACAATTAATTATTGTCAGTCTTCTTCAATAACTGGGATCACGCGTACGTTTATAAACAGTTACTTAACATTTCGGACGGTTTAACAGTTTTCGCCTAGTAACGAGCGTGTGCCAAATAATAACAGCTGTGTGGGAGCAGCATCCCTGCGTGCGACTTCCGTTTGCCCGTTCACAATAATAGCGTTTTTCTCCCAATATTCCGATTGAGTTTGGTACATTATCGATACATCGCCAATAATATTTTGAGTTCATATTTGTGATTAAACCTGTGTTTAAATATTGATAACAACATGATTTCCAATCACGTATTGGTGCGAATTCCAAATTTTTAAACTGATAAAATTGGTTTTAATTTTTTCACTATTATCCATATTGATTAAAAAATTGAAAAATATACGTTGTAGAATTTTATGAGGCCTATTATGAAAAGAAACAAACTGAGATAGTACTCCAATGTTATCACGTCGAAAATGAATTTCAATTTTTTCTATTTGAATTTGGCACCAAAATTAGTTGACAAAAATAGCAACGAATTCAACTATTTTCCCCCGTCCCTGCAATTTTTTCCAGCACGATACATGCAATAAAGGCTGAGAACAAATGTGAAAACACGTTTCTCATTGTATCTCTGCAACAGATTGCTCAAGGATGGTGTCTTTTGGGGTGAATATATTGCATTTTTATCCTCTTTCATATGAGTATCGTGGTTATCGATTTGGATTGGGGGCACTTTCCATCCCCTTCTTTGACTATATGCTTTGGATTCAAATTACTACAAGGCAATTGAAGGCATCAGGATTATGCTTCGATCAATCTAGCCTTCAGACATTCATCGCATAACACGAACTTCCATTTCGAGGGGGAAAAGATGAAAATTCAATCTTCAAGGATATGCTATCGCGCTATATGCTGCGCTCAAAGGGAAAATACTCATCAGAGTGAGAAGTGCATCAGATTTTTTTAGCTAATGAGACTGTAGATATTAGGGGAACAGAGCAGTTGTACATAGATATGTGCTATTTGCACATTGATAAGGAGAACAAGGAACCAAGAATAAGTGAAGATTTTCTCGGTTTTACACCACTATAAAAGTACGACAGTTGTTCCGCGGTAGCTGGTCATGTTGATGGAGTACGGAATATCAATGAACAACAAAAGGAATTATCAAGTTTTTCAGAGAAAGCATATTGATCAGTTCCGAAAGTTCCACTATTTTGTGAAACACGTTGGTCAGCCAAATATAGAAACATCGGGATATTAAACTATAACTTTTTAACTACTATGTAAGCGCTGGAGAAACTTTCGGAGGAGTCTACCAAGAAAGATACAAGAACCAAAGCCCATTTGCTACTCACAGCTGCCCGGACTCCAAAGTACATTGTGACGCTCCTTGGTGATATCTACGTTCTCTGCCAAACTAGAAACAGTGATAGCAAGTGAACGTGGTCATAAAAAAGATCAGCAGTCATGTTATAAAATTGGCAAGTGTAGACGATGCCTCAACAGAATTTTCTGTTTTCTTCGAAAAGCCACGGCAAATTGGCGAAGACCTGAACATTGAAATAAAACGACCTCGACTGGCTGGAAGGGAGGTCAATAGATCGAACCAACCTTCTGAAAACGAAGGATTTTCTATGAGCTCAAATTTCATCCCTTATTTGGACTCCATAATTTCTTCTTTGAAGTGACGCTTTTCACTCATGCAAGAGAAAGCATTTTCCCTTCTACAACTTCCCTCGGACGCTATGAGCAAATTAGACAGCAATTTTGGCAATTGTGGAGGTCATACATGGTTTTTAGGTCGGTAGTTTGCCGAATTTCATCACGGGCGCTATTACGTGGTACGAGATGTGGAGAAATAAAATAACTTCAACGGAATCCCTCAGTCACATGGACTTAGTTCGAGAGGCTACATCGTTCTTTTAATACACGAGGACGGGTGAAAACTTGGACCTACGATGAGTGACGAGAGGTCAAATGGAGTGTGCATGCTAAAATGTCCACATGGGAAAAAGTAAAAGATGATCCAGAATTTATGGACAAAGTGATACATGAATTTGGTTAGCAACCAAGACGACTGCAGCTTTTGTTCGAGCAATGTTATATGATAATTGATACTTATTAACTTCAATAAATTAATTTAGTACGTTAAAAACGTTTACAAAATCTAGTGAATAAATTTAAAAACTGAATTGAATAGGAATCATTACATCTCCGTTCATTTCTAAATTTCAAATTTTGTTATCAATATTTTACAATGATTACGTTAAGATCAAATGAGTTTAAAAAGTTTTGTTACTGACGTAGAATAATAAAAGTTTTAGGAGTTATTATTACATGTTATTATTTCGTACAATTTCTTTTTTCTGAAAGGCAGGGGGTGCAAATGAACCCGCCTTCCACGTTCTTGCTAGTAGTTGGTACGTGACAAGGAAAATACATTAAAAATAATCTTTATATAAATAATAGGCGAAGCGAAACTTCACCTATGTCCTCTGAAGTCCCCCCCTTCCCTTAAGGATAGGTTCAATGGTATCGTGTGAAGGCAAATTTACGACGGACGCAATTGCATCACCAGAAATGTTCGCAGCCTCGTCCCCTTGGCGTGCGCACAGGAAGGGGCACAGAGGTTGTGGCCCCCCTCAAAACTTTCAAGGGCCCGTAGCCTTATGGAAATAAACATTTCATTGCTGTTAATGTGAACAATTTCTTCTTTTCTCCTTTTTAAGTGTCATATGTAAATAAGAATGCTTCTTGGGGGCCCAGAAATGTAGCTGCCCCCTCGTCCTTTAGGCTGTGCACGCCTATAGATCTTGAGTTAGTTAATGTGCATTTCATCTGGTTGAAGTCCGAAGTACGCTCCAAAGTTTTTTTTTCTTCATTATTCACCATTTTTTATAATACGGACTTTAATTGACGAATTCGCGAATTAGCCCGATTCAAACATTATCCTAAACATATATACCATGTGGAAATTATGAACAAATTGGGTAAACAAGTCCTTATCGACTTACCTTTTTCCATTCTCGCAAGATATGTGATTGGAAGCATTGACCAAATCGGTCTAAGCACCACCGACTTAATTACATGTCGGGTGGCTTTGAAGGGCATGAGCCCGGTCTGAGCTGCAGCTGGTAGCGCCCGCTGCTGGTAGTGAGCGCGAGTGTGCGTCGAATGCTGGCTCGTTTCTCGCGGAAACAGGAAATTTCTAATATGGCGTCGACGTATGTCAGTGTGTTATAGGTGGTGGAAATGAAGTGATAGAAGTGAGATCATTTCCGTCATTTCCCGTAGGAATATTTCCAGTACGAATTCACAAAATGGATTACTCCAAAGCATCTTTACTCATAGAGCCTTACAGTTCCTACAGTTGTGTATTATTTAACTGTATATAATCCCCCACCCCCATAGGATATTGCTCAATATTTGACGTACGATATAATTCTACATTTACCTTAACCTTTTTCATCGTATTGTGATGGTAAATGCTGTCACAATGTTAAATGTGGTAAGTTATGAATGATAGCCTTTCAGTGTTATGCATAGTCTTACGGAGGCAACGATAGCTCATTCCCGGCCATCGTTAATGATATGAAATAAATACACAAAACAGTGGGAACAGTATAAGAAAAACTTTCGTTCCACATTCTCAGTACACATAAATATAATTACAAGGTTGGATATGGAGGTAGTTTAATAAATTGACATCTTGTCAAAATCGTTAATGGACGATCAGACATATTTGTAGAGTGTATTTGCTTCTGCAGTTTCACAGCAGTTTTCTACTTTGCCTTACCTTTCATAAGGCGTACTTTATATTTCATAATAATTCTTATTGGTACTTGTGTTTCTGTTTTTCTGATATACATCAATGGTCTGTTCAATTCATGAATCATGTACAATGCAAGTAGTTGTTGAAATGCAATATGTACAGTATATAAAATTATGAGGGGATATAATATTTTAAAAGTGTGGCATTTGAATTCATAATTGACATTGAAGATTGTTGCACAAGTAAGCAACTTGCACTAAATTTGTAGCGTGTGTGGTTGAATCGTGACAGGTGTCCAAGTCCACTTGAGAATAGTTGACAGGTGTTTGCAGTTTGGTATAATTTGCACAATTTGACTTCTCTACAGGCACATATTTTAGCAAAACTGGGGAACAATATGTGATTCTTTATTTATAATACTGGCTTTTACTGTGATTACTTTGCTTTTATGCTACTTTGTTATTGTGGCACTTTTTCTTAAAATTATGATAAGCTTTTAAACAACATGAATGGATATTTATTTCATTTTATAACAATTGTGGGAATTTTATGTCTAGTCACTTTGTGAATCTAAGTATGTTTTAGTATTGCATTCAAGTAGTGTGTTCCAAGTATTTCATCATAGAATACTGCTTTCATTTTGGCAGTGAAAATGAATGAATAATAATCTTGAGTGCTTCAGAGATCAAACTGTATCTTCATGGATACCTACTGCCCAGCAAAAGTACTAATTTTCAACTTTCTGAAACAATTTTCTTATGTGTTTTGAGTACTAGATAGTGTGGGAAAATTACTTGGTTGAAAATTGCCAACACTTGATTTGCAAAATTTGTAGCTAGCTATTGAAATTTTATTGTTAAGTTTGTGAACAACATTAACCGATTCTTTTAATTAATATAAAACATCAAACAATCATTCATTTGAATTGTTATTTTAGTCATAGTTGGGGAAATGGGAGAATACTTTAAGAAGTTGGAATTTTTTGAACATTTTAATTAACTTTAATTCTATCCCTGTTTCAACAAAAACATGTTTGATTGAATTACCAAATTATAGTATTCAGTCTTCAAACGTGCTTGAGTAATAATGATGTAAAGTGGCTATAGTAATCTTAGTAAATTAATCTCTCTTTGTACAAGTGTTTATAAATAACAAAAGTTCTCTGAACTGTTCATTGGAATTTTCAATTGTATTATTTTTAAATTCCGTATGTACGAATTAGTTGTAGAGAACAGATTAATGGCATTTGAAGATAAAACATGTATACTATCAGACTAATTACTTTAACTAGAGAATTCAAGCTCCTTTAAGTTTTTGTTTCTAAAAATTTGTTTCGTGTAGAACAGCCAAAATTCGAAGAAACAACTTGTCAAATGCTTGCTTCTAGTAAAACTGTGGAGTTTATTCAGTTGAATGATCAGGCCTTTTAGATGCCTGTTGTTCCAGTTTTGGGCATAGTGTTGTAACGTATTGCTTGATTTACACCAATGTTCACTAAAATTTTTCTCTATTTGCGTCATTCAATAAGTGATTTCTACTATAGTTAGTTGACAGAAACTATTTATGATAAGAATGGTCTCTCAAGTGCCTGTTTAATGTGTTTTGTCTTTCAGGATGTTCTGCGGTGCTTACCACATCCAACTGTGACTTATAGCCTACCCCATGGGAATCGCTAATGTGTGCCCTGGCACGGGAATTTTTGATCAGCTATGGCCAAAAAGAGTGAAAACATGCGTGGATTTAATGTGGCTGTGGTTGGTCTCTCTGGAACAGAAAAGGACAAGGGACAGGCTGGAGTGGGGAAATCATGTTTGTGCAATAGGTTTATGCGATCTTTGGCAGATGATTATAGCGTTGATCACATTTCTGTCTTGAGTCAGGTATTTGTTAATATTTTTCTTACTATTGAAGTTTCTGCATTTTATGTTGAATGTGTCATAACAAATTGAAGGGCGTGTGCATGAAAGATGATAACCCTTTAAATTGTAGTTTTTGTAATACTTTTGGCTCCTGTTATCTGTTGTCTATGCAATAAAATAGTCAAAAAGTCCAGTTTATGGCGTATAGGTGGTCTCAGGTTGTTGTTTTTATGTATCTCATTTTTACCAAAATATTTACTTGTTTGTTTCTCAAAAGCATTTGGCTGGCATCCAAACCCTTCAATTATTTGTAATATGGTACTTTTAAGATTGTGTTGTTGGAGACCTCACATTTTTCCCACTGTACAATATTGCAAGGTTTCAAAAGTTAATTATTTTGCAAGATCATATGGGATATAATGAATTAGGGTTAATCTTTGCTTCAGCTTTATTCTGCTTGGTGTTTCTGTGCTATTGAATAATGAGCTTTTGTACTGAAAATGTTTATGGATGTAATTAAAGCAAAAACTTCAATTTTGGAAATTGCAATATTCCAGTGAATTTTTGGGGCCTAGTTGATTGTTGTGCATTTCCGAGTAGGTGGTTAGGTTCTGGTCTTCGGTCTCCATGATACTTAAAACTTTCTTAAATGCTGGCAATGCAAAATTATTATATATTTTTAGATTTTATGTGTATGTCCACACAATCACAGTACATAAAGCACGTTGCACTGCAGTGAGGCACTACCAAGTGGAGTGGCCATACTGATGCAATTGAAAGTAGAATAAAATTGTTGCTTATAGTTTTTATTTTTAGTAGATTTTATTAAATATTAATATTGAATTCTAGTAATTTAAAAATCATCCCTATTTGTTGTTATTGGTGCTATTATTATGGCTATTATTATATATAATATATTAAGTAATATTATATGATTATATCATTGTCATAAATTATTTTGCATGTAGACTGACTTCAGTGGACGCGTCGTCAACAATGATCATTTCTTGTATTGGGGAGAAGTAACGAAGTCTTCTGAAGAAGGTATTGAATTTCTGTTTCAAGTTATCGAACAGACTGAATTCATTGATGATGCTTCATTTCAGCCTTTTAAAGGTAAATTGTTGTGCACAGTGTGAAATACTTCATTTCTGTTTGACTTGTACAATGTTCAAATTAATTTTCAGGTAGTAAAATGGAACCCTATGTAAAAAGGTGTAGTGCAACAAAGTTGACATCTGCAGAAAAACTAATGTATATCTGTAAAAACCAATTGGGTAAGGAATTATATTTAATATAAGGGTAAATTTGTTTAGTAATGTTTGTTTTTCTGTATCAAAAAGCATTATGATATTTAAGTGTTCTGTTGATTTTTCACTTCTCTTTGTAAGTTATTTTCTCTAAAGCTTCAACTTGTATAGTTGACTTTGGTTCATGTTCTTGCTCTTGTGTAATGTGTTTTGCTATTTTGCTTTTACCTTCTTTTCTTGCATAAGTATTTCAAAATCACATTATCAATATTCAATGTAATATGTTCTAGGTATCGAGAAAGAATATGAACAAAAAGTACTTCCTGATGGGAAAATCAACATCGATGGATTTCTGTGTGTGTTTGACGTTAGTGATGTTCCCTGTAGGACAATTGAAAAACAAGTAGAAATTGTTACAGGGATATTAAATAATTTGGTCAAGACAAAAAAACCAGTTGTCCTTGTGACAACTAAAAATGATGATGCTAATGAATCGTATGTCAAAGAAGCTGAAAGACTTGTAAGCAAGAAAGAGTATAAAGGTGCAATCTTGTTAATAGAGACTTCAGCTCATGAAAATATCAATGTAGATTTAGCCTTTATAATCCTAGCTCAGCTAATTGATAGGACAAAAGGCAGAACAAAAATCTTACCTTTTCTTGAAGCAGCTAAAATTAGGAAGGAGCTTCTTGAGCATTCCACTGAGGCGTATCAGCGCTTGATTAGGTCCCAAGTCACAGACTACAGGGCAGTATGGAGTTACACATCAAAGAAGCTTGCAAACCAAGAAGAATTCATACGTTTTGTGGAGTTATTTGGAATGGACTGTTCTCAACGAGTGTTTAGGCGGCATGTTAAGAAATTGAAGGATGAACATTTGGCGAAAAAAGTTCAAGGCTACATGGATATGCTTCCGGAAGTGCTGCAGGAAATGGTACCTGATTTATCTACCTTGCGTGATCGGTAAGATGTTTCAGATATTTGTCGTGCTTTTTTAAATTGCAAGAGGTGTGATCTTCAACATTTTGAGTTGAAGACACTACAGCATGTTTCAAAAAAAAAAAAAGTTTTACTCAAAATGTCTGCTTTGGATTTTTGCTTTTATAAGCATTATTTCTGGAAGTGAAGTTTCCGCCGTGAAGGCTGTATGAAAGTGTTTCAGGGTATATCTAATGAGGAACTTAGGTTATTTATCTCTATTACATGCATAGTCATTTTTTTAAAAAGAGTGGTTAAAGAATATTTTCTTTTGTGGGGTTGTATACCACCAAATTATCTTCCAGAAGTGTATTTTCTACATTTTGTGTTGTAGCTAAACATTCCTGTCTTTTTCTCCTAAGTCCGAAATATCACTTTTACTATTAAAAACTTTTTTCAGTGTGTTTATGTAATGAAGTAGTGTTTATACTGAAAAAATGATACAAGCGTATTTTAGTAAATTACGTTTTTGGGAGCACGCTTATCATTTTTCCTGTTTGAACAGTACATCATTATGGGGCAAAAATGAAAAAAAAAATTGAGAAAGGCATCTTTCTTCATGAAAGCATGTTATGATGAAGCAATACTGAATTTTTATTTGAGGTTGAATGTTCTCATGAACAGGCATAAGTTACAAGAATTGAATTCAAAAGTGCAATATTAAAGAAATTGTTCACATTAAGTCTATCCAAAGAAAGAGTGAATTGGTATTGACTTTTAATTTTATTTCATTTGTATTACCAGTGCCAGCAAAAGGATTTTTGATTAGCTAAATAATTCACTTATACGTGGTGTGCAATTGATACAATAAATGGTGGTTACCTTGAATAGCCCAGTGACATTTCTGGTGTGTGTGTTTGTTGCTGGATAGGTTGAACACTGCAGTCTTGTTTGTTTTGTTTAGTAGGAAATGTTATACATTATATAAAATATAATTTTAATTATGTAGTATAAATTTTTGCAAATCTGGTACCAGATTCAAAATTAATTAGCCTTTTAAAAGAAACTTTTTTGGAATTTTTCTTCAATAGAGAATGCAACTAACTACAGACAACTGAACATTTCAAATGATTTTTATTAATAATTCCTCGTTAGCTTTTCTCATATAGCATGTATTTGATGATTTGAGAGCCTATGAATTAACATTTTTTTCAGTTACTAATAGTGTTAAATTGATGTATTAGAAAATAAATAAGATTAAAATATGAAGACTGCTTATTTTTCCTCTAAAATTTATGTATATTATTTAACAATTAATTTTAGGGATGAAAATGTAACTTTAAGTTGATCATTACGTTGTTTTTCATGAATTTTTTTTATGTATTTGTGAATATACCCTACTTGCTAAAGGGAGTAGGACGTTAGGAGCATGCAATGTTCTCAAGCAGCAGCTTCGAAGGCAGACGCTGAATTTTTCACCTTGTGTCTGGTTGTAGCCTTTGTTCAATTTCATTGTAGGTGAAAAAATGGTACTTTTTGAAAGTTTTCTTATTTATTCCCTTTGCATTGTAATGTTGTGTGTTATCAGAATAAATTCCCGATGTTCTCTTTTGTGTTGTATTAAATCTATTACTAAATTAGGAAAACTTTTCTAATATTTATTCATATATACTATACTTTCTTTCTTTAGTTGGATTTCTGTAATTTATTTATTGTATTCATATGCAGTACATTTTTAATCTTAGCAAGAAGAGATTTTCAATTTGAGAAGATAACTTGTAGAATCGATTATGAATCTTGTCTTTATAGCTTTCTTAACCCTCTTGTGTTATGGAGCATAATATATTTTAATTTTTTCCTGCAAGTCCCAATATTTATCCATATCAAGATGATAAAAGTCAAAAAAAGTTTGAAGTGACGAGTCACATATGGTGTATGCAGGCGTAAGTCTTCTTGAGTTCCAGAATCCCTAATCTCTCTTTCTACACACTTGTATGAACAAAGTTAGAAAGCAGCATTTTAATATGATAAATGTTCACCTCTATGTGATACAATTTCATCGGCAAGAGACCTTCAGATTTGATTTTGAATATACTGCTATCATTTGATTTTGAATATACTGCTGTCAAATAACTAACCCTTCTCTCTTCTTGTGCGTAGCAAAAGAGAGATCAAGGAAACGAGCAGAGAGTGGAATTACATTTACTGTCCAAAATGAAAGCAAGGGCCCAGAAGCATTTGCTCAAAGAATCAAGAGACTGTGCTTGAAAAACCTGGATGAGTTGATGTCATTAACACAGCTAAATTACAATATTTGTTACCGACAGAAATAAAATCTTACACAATAAAAATTAATTGTTTTTGGTAGCAAGTAGTTAGCATTTCAAGTTTGCTTGGTACCATTGTAATTTTAAATCAAAATATACCTACTAACAATATATAATAATAGTAATATTAATTGAGAATATTATTTAATAATATCAGTGATAACAATGATTAATGTATCTAGTAATCCAGGGTAAAGGAAATAAAATTTGGTCAGTCATTCGTCTTCTACATTAGTTCTAATGCAATTTGACTCAGGCAGGACATGGGATATGCCAGTTCTTTTTTTCTTTGCTTTGGCTCACAGCAGTCAAAATGAAGCGGAATGTTAAACGGGATAAGAATTCTTACTTATTTTTATTCTTTTGAGGCAGAGTAGTTTAGTGATTTGTATATTCCTTCTCACTGATGAACATGTTAAGCAGGAAAGTTAAAGTTTTCAATATATTTTTAAATGTCGGTATTAAGTTTATATATTTGGTTTGTTGTAAAGTATAATACCCTTTAATATGATCCTTTTTTGATGAAGTGGATGATTTGGTAGTTTCAGTGTGGGGTTCCCCATTGGGTTGTCCTTTTGCTGAGAGTTGTAGTTGTGGACATCAGAATTTCGAGTGAAAGTGTCTATATTTTCCGTGGGAATCTTGTTTGTGAAGACCATTATTTGAAATGTATTGATGCCTGGTAGAGGAAGAATCCCCAGTTTATTGAACAGGGTTTGCAAGACTCCAGCTAATGTGTGCTGCTCATTGTTTGCAGTGTTCTTCTTTGGCTAATAAATGTGCGAGAGCTTGCAGTACACCACAATTTATCATTGGAAAGGAGGAATACAATGAGTATATGTTGTTTACTTTGATGTGCTGGAGGGTAACTACTTGGCTATGGTTTGATAAATAGAATTTGATCCATTGACCTGTGATGCCTCGGATCCCTACCGTTTCTAGTTTTGTTAAAAGTATGTGATGGTCAATACTGTCAAATCTAAGAAAAGGCCAATGGAAATTTCTTTCATATTGAATTCAAAAGTATGTTGTTTAAGAAGATGAAGTTGGCTGTGTCTGTGGATCTATTACTTCTGAAGCCATGTTATGCATCTATGAGTACGTTATTTGTATTGAGAAACTGAGTTTATCATTGAAAAGCCTTTCCAGAGTTTTTGAAAATCCTAACAGTAATGTAGATCTGTAAGTTCATTTGATCATAACTATTGCCATTTATTTAACAATAGTTTAATTTTTGCCTTGTTGAATGCCTGTTCTCAGGGAGTAATTACAAATATGAGAGAATGGTTGCACTATAAATTAAGCATTTTGATAAGAATATCAGGAATGTTCCTGTTTTTGTTATCCATTTGTCCAATGATTTAAAAAAAATCAGCGGGTGTGGTTTCGTTATAAAATATACAATTGATGATTTGTGTTACATTAGTGTTTGGTTGTTTTATCTTATTGTTTAGAAAGTGATGAGAAATTAATTTTTCATCAATTTGTGAAAAATGTTTATTGAATATGTCGGCTATTTCTTGTGGGTCTTTTAAAGTTTTGTTTTTGTAGTATAAATTTATATTTTTTATGTTATCATGAGTTGCTGCTATAGACATTTTAATAATGTCTAACAGAGCTTTTGTTTTGTTATGTGCATTTGCAATTTGCTTTTCATTTGTCATAATTGTTGGATTATTTTTTTAGGATTGAATTATGTTTTGTGGTAGGTAATAAAGTTGGAGCTACTTTTGAGGTGTGCTAGTATGATATACTTGTTGTGTTTTCTGTCACATGACACTTTCTTGACTTAGGTTATCTACGATTAATTTTTCTTATTTTGGATCTTTTTCAGTTTGTGAGAAAAAGTTACATTGAAATGTTTGAAGTTTATATTTATGAACGAGATAAAGTTATTATAAATGCCGGTTACCGTAAATCCCAATTTTCTAATTGAGCAAGTTGTGGAAATTAATTATGTTTTCTTGGGAACAGTTATGGGTTTCTTGGAATGTTGTCTTTCTTTAATTTTTTATTCTCTTTCAAGTGTTAAAATGTGGGCTGTGAGGTCACTGAAGTCTGTGATAAATGCAACAGTAGAGAAACTATAGTTATTTCCTTATTATGTAATATAATATATATAATAATAATTATTATTGAATTATTGAAATTTTTATTCCTTGTTTGGTTTGATATTCTTTTCCAAAGAAAGCTTAAGTTTCTGGATAGATATTTGCATTTGGTATTCTTTATTTGCCTGAAATATTGGGAAATGAATACATAAAATTGAGAATACAAACTTCGGAACTTTCATTTTATAATGCAACAGAGAACCATGTTAGTAATGAAATATATTAATGAATCACCAATCCAAAGGTATCTTATTTTGAAATCTCAAACTGCATCCTTTTTTGGAATTTATCAGCTTTATTTATTTATTTATTTATTTTTTGTGTCAATATTATAACATCTAGAATTTCTTTTAATTTCCTATTGATGACTTTTCTCTTTCTCCCTCCTTGTCCTGTTTCCCCTCTCCCTCCCCATATCCTGTCCTCTACTCCCTCTTGTCCCTTTCATTTTATGCAATTGGTATAAATAAAGACTATGTGAACAGAAATTTGAGTAGTATCACAGAGGCTGCGAGGATGAAGTACTGTGTGTGTTGCAGCGATTGGCCAGCAGTGCAATTACGTATAAAAGAACATCCTGAATTCAGCCAGTATTTTTATGAATGCCCTGAAGACATCCCCTGGACAGAATGTGATTTGAGTGACAGCAGTGAAACTCGAATTCCTTATGATGTTTTGGACACTAGTGAAGCAGAGACTGTGTACAAGAATCATGTGAATGCCTTACAACAAGAACAGAAAAGATTAGAGTAAGTAACTATTGACTCTTGAAAATATGTTTTTATTGAACAAGGTGATGCTATTGTTAGCTGTGTTGTGATTGGCAGCTAAGGTGCTCTGTAACTTTCTTTTCCTTCTCAAGCACTCATAATTCAAAATTCTTGGTCTGTCACAATTTCTGAAATCATGAGTTTCAAGGTAATTTTCTCGGGTATAAACTAGAATGAAATTAATATACTGGTTTTCTTTCTGTTGTGCCTCAGACTGCCTAAAAGGTATGTGTAAAAAAGTGTGAATTAAAATGAAATATATATAACTGCAAACTAACCTGAAACATCTTTAAATAACTCTTTTGAACTGTTTATAGGGTTGTGTACCTATAAAAATGTATTCACAATATGCAAAACTGTTCACAGGTACAAAATGTCTACTTCACAAAATGTTATACTGCTACAATTTTTGTCTCATTTAAAGTGTAAATAATTGCAGAGAAATACTTAAAATATTATAAACATTCTACATGCACTGTCAAATTGGTTCAGTTTAATCAGATATGAACTAAGTAAATAAAATAATAATAAAAAACACCATAAAGTGTCACTTTTCAGTACCAAGGAACAAAAATTTAGCTGTAGAGATTAAATGTCTTCTTAACAATTTTATATCAGAACACTAGTGCTTTCTAGCATGTACTAGACAAAGTAAGACAAGTAGCACCTGTAAGGCGGCACTGGCATGACCTAAAAATTTGTGTTCAAATTGTCAAATGTTCAACAGTCTTTCCTACAACATTTCCAGTTTTTGGCACTCCTTTGTTAATAGAAACACTACACTGCATTAAGAAGCATGGGAGAATTACCTCTCCTCCAATTATATTTGTGCGTTACAAGACGCCATGTGGTTTGCACAATGTACCAGTGAATTCACGTGTTTTCATGTTTTTTACTTCTAGTTTGAATGGATTATCTGTTAGGGAATGAAATATTGTAATGTGTGAGGGTCTACTTTCAAATACTTCTTATTCTTTAAACAACGTTAGATTTTAATTCTTTGGGTAAATTGTCTTTCATGTGAACTATGAATTTATTCTTGTTATGTATGGAATTATATATATTTTTTATACCCTCGTACTGGCTTCTTAAATCATTTATCACCTTGCTGTTAATGTTTGGTTCGAATAGAATGACAATACTGATTCTCATTTCATTATCATTGTTGTTTGAGGTCTTAAGTCTCATAGTAGCATTTGTTCTCAATGAATTGAGTTTTCTATAAATTACTTCTAGAATACTTTGTTTACTATCAAAACTAGCACAGTTCATTTGCAAAAATTTTACAAGAGAAACAGAAATCATGTCTGATCCACATGCAGATATGAATAGGATATATTCTAATCACAACTTGAATGGTAGTAGGCTGGATTTAAACTAAACACCTTTTGGAGGTTATAGAGGACACAATAAACATAGGGAGAATTGCAACAAAAGTGAATTGTGGAAAATAATGGAATGAGCTGATTTTGAAAGTGAAGGGTCTGCCTTACATCATCATATTTATACCCATATTGCATTTTTAGTTTGAATGAAATTTGACCGAAAACGTCTATCAGGTAACCTGACTACACCACCCCAATACTTTTATTATTGAATGTCATTGTTTTGGATTTTGTAGTAGATTACTAACTGATCTGTGTACTTTTGTGTAGGTCAGACTGTAATTTTGGACCTCTCTTAGCTTTTGTTATTTTATTCTTTGTGTATAATTTTATTAGATGGAAGAAACAATTTAAGCAGCTACTGGAAGATACAGGATATGTGACACCTGGAAAACTTCTGTCTGAAGTGCGAGTTTTGTTCATGGGGCGTGAATGTTTTGAGGCATTAAGTGAACAGGACTGCCAACAAATTTATGACCAACATCAAAAAGAGATTGTTGAAAAAGCCAAACATAATTTTCAGGTAAGTGTTGATATTCAAGTTGACATATAAATCTGTTCTAACGAATTGCAATCAGAGACTGATGAATTTGCATCTTTTTTAGGAATTACTTTTGGAACATGCAGATTTATTTTATCATTTCAAGAGCATAGCTCCAACAGGAACTATCACTCAGGCAGATATAAAGGAAATCACTGATGCTCTTCAAGATGATTCTAGGCAAGTAGATGAAATTGCCAATGGTATTGTTGAATGTGCTGCTAACACATCTGTATTAATACTTTTATTTGTCAGTTGCAGTTTGATTTTATGTATTTTGAAAGTTCTTTTTCCATATGCAAGTTCATGCCTGATTAAAAATTTCTCCAGCTCTGAGAATTATTGAAAGACCAAATTCCAACAAAAAATTGTTACATGTTTCAACAAATTCTTTTTTATACCGCTAATTTGGTTTCACAATGTGGATAAAAAAGTATCTATTGTATAATTATGTGATTTTCATATTCATATCACTTCTTTGGTTAAAATATTGTATCCTGTTTCCTTTTAAGTGGAATATTCCTCATGGTTCATTTTTAAAGGAATAGAATTTGTTTCTGCTTGTACAAAACCTGGTATCTTACTAAGTAAAAATTCTCCAATTTTTGCCTTGTTTGTAGGTACAAATCATTAGATCGTCTGGATCAGGACAGAAAGTTAATGCTCTTTCAACACTTAGGGTTTGTCCACTGTCCTATTCGAGAGCATTGCCCAGCCTTTCCAAACTGCATGGATGCGCTAATTGAGCGAATTTTAGGAACCAAAGCACACAGGTGAGAGGGAGTATTCTCACACACAGCTGCTCTCTTGATTTGACTTTTCTATATTAGCTTAAGCTGATGTTGCAGGCCCTCTTCATGGAACCACAGTAGTCAGTGGGTTCTCAGCTCAGACAATAATCAGTTGAACTTGGTAATCCTTGGAATAGATGGTCTTGCTGAAGAGTTGGCAAGTGAAATTAGAGTAAGTATGATTATTTATTTATTTGTTTATTAATGATAGCATCAAGTTGATATACACATATACAATGGTGTAACAAGTTATACACTAATTCCTTTTAGTAGAATAACAATTTTATAATCTAAATCACTATTTTTTATGTTAATTGCAGCAGAGTACTTTTTCCCCAGTCTAAAAAACGCACCAGTTTTTTAAACCCACGTTGAAAAAACCTTGAACAACGTGTATAAAAAAAAGTTTTAATGATTTTTTAGCTTATTTCTAATAAAACAACAAAACAATATTATGTATTGAAATATTAATTGTAAACTCAAATTTAATCACTGTAGGTGCGTACAAAGAAGTATAAAAAAATAAAATCGACACAAGTACAAAATAGAGTAACCTGACAATAAAATACAAACTTCATTTGCTAGTATTGACAACTCCAATTTCATCACAACAAATACGCACAAATAGTAAGACAACACAAGCACAAAATAAACTTACTGTAAAGTGCAATCTTGCTAAAGGTTATCCGTTTTGCGTGCGTGCGTGCGCGCGCGCGTGCGCGCGTGTGCGTGCGCGTGTGCGCGTTTTTTTTTCCTTGCATACACTTGATACTTCTGGATGAATTTTAATTTGACTGTTTTGAGTGATGAAAATCAGTATTTTAAACAAACTAAATTTAAAATATATATCGCTATAAAGCCCCAATAAACCTAAAAATACCCACTAGGTCCTTTTCTCACTCTTACTTTGCAAGAGGCAAAAGTGTCGTAATATGTGCCACAAAATTTTTTGACAGAAGCCCTTTTATTGCTGGGTTTTGGTAACTATAGAGGATAAATGTAGTTCCTATGTATACTAAATGACTTTCTCTGACATATGTAGTCAGAATCAATGTTTTGTGGGTTGATTCAAAAAATTGATTGACAGCAAAATGTCTATCTCTCTGTCTGTGGCCTAAGCTAGCGCCAAAACCATTCAGCCAATTTTCTCCGAAATTGATATTGTACAATTACGAAAATTGATATTCCTCGAACAATTTAAAGACACTTGGGTCCTTCTGATTTGAAATAAATATTTTGATTTTGGGAGTATTTTACTTGAAATCTCAACAATATTTTCAAATTTTTCTCAAAAATGTGTCCAATTTTTTTGGTTTAGCTTTGTTTATTTGTTGTTGGTTTAACTTTGTTATTTTTGTTGAAATACTTGATTTTTTGAAAATTGAAGAAGTTCAAACATTTTCTTGGTGAATTCCTACAACTAGAATATTGAAGATAGTGATTGTTTTCCTGAATGAAATATGTTCTTTAAAGACAGATGTTGAAGAAAGGTCATGTAAAATGTTTTGAAAATATGACTCACTTTTGCATAATTGTGAAATGTAGGCAATTATTAACAAATTTTAAACAATTATTTTCTAAAAAACAACTCCAAATTTTTTTAAAAAATTTTCTTTTATGTATTGAAAGTTTGAAAAAGAAATTGGGGCTAGTCCCATTTCTGGCAAACTGTCTGAATTTTCGAAAATTGCAAAACATTAACATTTCAAAACTGCTAAAATGAAGATGAGATTTTTGCCATAAACAGTCTGATCCAGAAAATCAGCTCTTTAAAACAGTTGATGTACAAGATTTTGGAAAACAAGTCATTTTCTTGTAATGTGTGCTCGAAAGTAAAACAATTTATAAAAAACATTTTTTCAAAAAACTCTAAAAATCCTTTTCCTTAATGGTTTTTCATGGATGAAACAAGAGACGCCTAAAAGAATGGCACAGGTCTCATTTTTGTTGAACTGTCAATTATCAAAAATTGAAAATATATAAATAAAGCAAGAAAGTATGTTCTGTTGCAGCTGCTCTAGTTTCTAGGAGTAAATGCCGTAGGGTGGCTGTTATTGTGGCAATAATTTTTTGCCCTTTGCCTCAAATATGGAATTAAAATGCCACAAAAAATGTGCTGAGAGCCTAATTTCAAAAACACTAACATATGTCTATGAGAGATTAATTGTTATCAATTATAAATATATAATCTGATGTCAAATTTTTGTGAATGTTTCCCACATGTCTTCACATAGTGCTGAATTCATGGGAGAGGATTGAAGAAATTTCCTCACTTCTGATGAAAGTTTTGAAAAAATAGTGCAGCATGTAATAATATATTTTATTAAAAAGAGTGGATATTGTTTATGCAGCGAAGAGGGCTTCTCCAAATTAAGCAGGCTGGACTGACCTTCATGACTGAATTATTGTTAATTTAAATATTATTATTATTATTATTATCATTATCATCTTTATCATCATCATCACCACCACCATTACCATTATTATTATTAAATATTTATCATCATTGTATGATCATGACCATTGATGAATAAAGAAATAAAATTGATTCACAGGATTGGTCAAACATTGTTAGAGAAACAATTATAATCTGATCAAGTAAAGTAATTGTTACTCTAACTGCATTTGACCAATCCGGTGAACCGATTTTATTTCTTTCAATATTTTTAATGATGATGAGATTTATAATAAATAGAAAAATATCATGGTAATACAGTAATTGAAAAATTTAAAAAAACATTAATATACAATAAGAATTTAAAAAAATAGTCTTTATAGCACAGCAGCAGCTGTAGCATTACTAAAGATATTTTTATTAGCTTTTAGAAGAATAACTTAATTGACAATATTCTCAACTTTAATAATTATAACCAATCTTTCCCCTAACATCAGTTTTCTTTGTAAGCTGAATGTTTAAGTGTGTGCTTAACCCTACAAAGTTCGCTTGTTTATGAGCAAGCACTTGTTTTCTTCTGTCAGCCAATTTTGCCCCCAACATTCACTTGTACAACTTTCATTTCCACTGATCAAGTAAATGAAGAAACTTGCTCCTTGGAATCACATAGCAGAAAATTTGCAGAAAGGGTAGTGAAATAATTACATTGACGTTTGAGGGCAAGGATTAAGATCACAAGGAAAGGAGTTGAACAGAGAATACCAATAATAAGAATAAGAATAGAAGCAATAAATAAATATAAGATTTAGAGTGGTGTTCCTTTCATCCTCCTGCTTCCAGCTCGTGTTTTGAGCGTAGTCCTTTTGTCCCTTACCAGCTTCCGTTGATATGGGTTTCCACTCTAAGTTATGACTATTTGAAAGAAAAAACAATTTTCTCTCAAAGGCAATATGTGTACCTTTACTACATATATTGTTGAACTAAGTTTTCTTTTCTTTTGCAGGTCCAGTGTGATGATGATGAATATGAAATTGATTGTCAGTTATACAGTTTAGATTACAGAATTATTGATGGTGATGTTAGTCTACCACAAAATTCTTTTAAAACTTCTAAATTTTTACCAAACGGTTAGTGGTTGTAATTTGCTGAAAGTTTTTTCAAAATGTGTGGCCTGAATTTAATTTGATTGGAATTGTTTTAGGTTGTTTCTGTGTATATTCTAATCCCGAATCGTTTGAATATGTACGAGAAAGTTTGGAGAAAACTTTACTCTCCAATTTAGAGCAAGAAGATAGATTACCGTTTCAAGGACTGCCAATTGTTATATTATTTGTTCCTGACCCAACTGTTGACGAAAAAGAGGTGTTGAGGTTGCAAGAGGAAGGTCAAAGTTTAGCTGATAGGTTTGTGAATTTTATTATATGTATATGATATGAACGTGTCATTAAATATCAAACCAGGCTCACTAAATGTTGTTGAAATAGTTGTAAATCTTAATTGTATTTTTTTGTGTTCTTGGATATTTTTTCTTTCTTTCTCCCTTTTTTCTGTTGTGTTTTGTAATTCAAAGTTTTTTTCTTGTTTTTTTCTTCTTGCTAGCTTGGTGGTTTCTCATGACGAAAATGTTAGCATTGATTGCTACCAAATTTTTTGTTCAATGTAACCAAGAGACATACCATGATAATTATGATTTTGAAATGTAAATTTACTAAATGAAGTATTCTAGATTGAATCTTATTTCATGTAATTCTTTAAATACATACTTCCCTTTAAGAGAAAAAAATGAAGGTCTGGTAGGGGCTTCCGTTGCTTTTCAGACCTCATAAAGCTGGTCATTAACCACCTACAAATTTAATAAAATAAATTTATTCTCCATTTCTCATCTCCTCTGCAGATAGTACTTTTTTGAAAAGATTTTGTGAATACACAATTCTAATCTTCAGAGTAGACACCTACCGCAATTTATACAGTGTCTCAAAATTCCTGATCGCATGCTCCAATTCAGAGTGGAATAACGTGCAAATGCAATTCAGTGTTACTGTTGAATTAAGAACAACTTTATATTTACTTTCTTTAATTTACATATTAACGGTTTCTGATGCTGAATGAGAATTCATCCACCAGTTTGTATTTGCCGTGCAGTCTCCAATGCTTTGTCATGGCAGGCACTGCTTTCCTGTTGTAGCCCAGTCTCTCCTATTAACTGTAACACAACAGTTTCCCTAATTTTCAAGAGGCTGCCTGAGAATTTTTTAATGTTTAACTAATTCTTACTATTTAGTTCCAATTAAATTTGTAAATTAGTCTAATTGACTAGAAAATTGTCTTGTGAATAAGAATGTTGTAATTTTTGCCTGTGCTAACACTATTTTCTTGTTTCTTATAATCATCATAATCATGTTTTTTGTCATTATCCTCTTCATTTTCGCAGGTATCATTGTTAGTTTCTAGTTGTCATTGACTTCAGTATATTTGATAGCATTGCTCCCCCAGGAGCCAAAATATTTCTTTGCATTTTTGATATCATCTAGAGCTGTAAGCTTGAATAAAGCTTTTGCTCTAAAGCTCAAGGGGAATATGAAGTCAAAACAAGCTGATACAGTAAACATTTTAAAAACACTATATATGATGCTTGTTAAACTTGATCAAATGTTTCATCTGTTGTCTGGTCTCCATGTTTTCACATTCATTCTGCTAAAATTGAATCTGTTCGGCACAAGTTTTTAAGAATTGCTGCAGCAAGTTTCGACATTCGTGACCCTTACAGTGATCATGATTCTAGTGTCATATCTTCTACCCTAAACATGCCTTCTATTTCGTCTTTTCATAACTTTAATGATATCTTGTTTGTGTTAGTAAACTGTGTAGTTAGTAAATAGTGGAATTGATTCCCCACTGTTACCCGAAGAATTGAATTTGAGGGTCTGCAATTCACTCAAGAAATAAAAATACCTTTTTCATTGGCGACCTATACAAATACCCACACTGCAAATAATCAGTAGAATGACTAGCATGGTAAATAAGTGAGGTCGCCACATTTGGAGTCCAGCAGATTGTTTTTTTTTTTTGTTTTTTTTTATTCAAATGGTCCCTGATGAGATCCATATTTTTCTGACTAAACAGTGCGCTTTCTCACTTAATCCAACTTTGGCTGACCTTTTTGAATGATCCTTGAAAGAAGGTTGCCTTGTGCCAGATTGGCTTTCAGCAACCATTGTGCCTATATTCAAGAAATGTGACATAAATGTAGCAGGAAATTATCTCCCTATCTCTTTGACCTCTCCCTTCGTTATGGAAAAATTTTTCGTTGCCTCTACATTGTGTTTTTGGGAGAACATCTTCTTTCCGTACTGCCAAATGGTTTTCTTTCAGACAATTACAAAAATGGGCTCAATTACAAAAATGGCATACCAGTCAATATCACCTATATTGACTTCGAAAAAGCTTTTGAGTCCCTCATGGAAAGCTTCTGTGCGAGGTGAAGCACTTGGTGTATGAGGTAACCTATGTTAGATCACTGCTTTTCTAGAGAATTGGGACTTCTGATTGAGAACTGTGGTTTTCTCTCCTCTGAAAAGCCTGTCCTCAGTAGTGGTTCTGTCTTGGGCCTTACTCCTCTTCCTAATCTACACAACTGATCTCTATAACCATGGTAACACCCAATGAGTAGCTCACTGACGATGTGAGATGCTACAGTAACCCATTTGTGCTTGATGTTCAAGATCTTAACAATCTCTCTCAATGGACACACAACTGGCTGCTCACCATCAATCCATTGAAGTGTTCTGTTGTGCATATTGGAAAAAATAACCCATTCAAACGCTCTCATATGAACATTCAATCATTTTTTAAAAATTTTTTTCGTCTGAATTGATGCGTGTCTTCAAGACCCAGGGGTGTTGAGTGCTTTGTGCATGGGAGCAATCCTCCGTTAAGAATTGTGCTATTTACAGAAGTAATCAGCATCATATTCTGTTCTATTTCAATCTGACCTGGGAATCATGATCTCTCAGGATCTGAAGTGAAGTGCACATGTTCAATATGCAATGAAAAAAGCCAACAGAATCTCTTATCTGGTCAACAGCCTTCAAGCACCTCAGGCATCAACTTTTGTGTATCATGCACACTACCTACATTAGGCCTATAATTTAATTTGGTCACTGCATCTGGACACCGTACTTTCCAGGACCTGACTGTCTTAGATAGTGTACCGAAGATATCTTCATGACACATTCCTGCCCTGCAATAACCAAGAGACTTGAAGCACTCTTACTTGTCAACTGCTAATGACCTAATTTTGGAAAGAGATCTCATTGAAACCAAATACTAAATGGCAAATACCACTGCCCAGGTTTTGGAGATTTCTTCCTCCACAACACCAACTTCCACCTTTGTGATTATTATTATAAACTGAACAAATAATTTTTTTTCTGCATTCTTACAAGTTTTTGCAGTCAAACAGATGACTGGCATCACCTAACTGCTGGTGTCGTCGTAGCACTTTAAAGAACGCCTGGAATAATTTTACACCCTTTTCTCTTGATTATTATTTGTTTATTTATATGTAAATAACAGGCAACCTGCCCAATATGCAATGTTTTAGAGTTTGGTAGTAAATTACAGATAGTTAACATTAACACTATATATAACTATTTAAAGTCAGACAAAATATTGTTTTTTGCTGTTCTAATGAATGAATTTCTATTAGTACTTATTATTTCCTAATTGTATTCATTTACTGGTTTCAAAAATAAGTTATAAAGGCACATGGTGTAAGTATTTCATTTTGTCAATTGGCTCAAAGAAAATTTGAGTAATGTAATGCAGATTCCTTATGAGAATTTTTCAGTAAGTGTGAAGGTGTCATACCTGAGAACCACACAATATCACATTCTGTCTTTTCTATTTTTTCTCTTCTTTGTCTGTTTTCTTTCCTATTTTTATCTATTTACCATCTTTAATTATATACTTCTTTCTCACATGTATCTATGTTTTATTGTGAACATAATCAGGATTGTCCTGCCTGTTCACACATTTTGTAAATATATAAATAAATATTCTGATTAATTAGAGGAAGTTGAAAAGATAATTATTTTCCGTTTAAATCTCTGTACAATGAAAAAATTATGAGTATAAGTGGATATTTTATTAAAAAAGGATTTCTGGGAAGTTTTTTAAAACTACGGCAAGAGTATAATGGGCCAAACAAAAGAATAAAGCCTGTAACAAAATCAAGAATAAATTGAAATTGAAATTTAGCCTGGATTATGTCTGGATTATGATGTGTAGTGTATGTTTTTCAACATCAATCTGGAATTGTTTGAATTTGGATATGAGACTGGCAATATTAGTATCCAGTCCTTTTGTGCAGTGAAGTGCAGCAGCAAGTCATTGGAAGTCCCCTGCAGAAATATTGAGCCATGTTGCCTCTATAGCCGTCCGTAATTACGGTGTTACTTAGGTCAGATTTGATACACAAACTGAACTCTCAATTATGTTCCATAAACGTGTGATGGGATTCATCACACGTTTGGGTGGCCAAATCATTAACTGAAAATGTTCTTCAAACCAATCACGTATAATTGTGGCCCGGTGACATGACGTACGGTTATTCATAAAAATTCCTTTGTTTGGGAACATGAAGTCCACAAATGACTGCCAATAGCCTCCAATCAGCTGAACATAATCATTTCCAGTTAATGATCAGTTCAGTTGTACCAGAGGACCTTGTCCGTTCCCTATAAAATCAGCGCACACCATTATGCAGCCACTGCGAGCTTTTGCTTCAACTTTTGTTCACAACTTGGGTCCATGGCTTTATGGAGTCTGCGTCACTCTGACCTTACCAGCAGCTCTTATCAACTTATATTGGGACTCATCTGATCGGGCAAGGTTTTCCAGACATCTGGGGTCCATTTTGTCATGAGTCTAGGAGAGGCACTGAAAATATGTCATGTGTTAGCAAAGGCACTCAAGTTGGACTTCTGGTGCCGTAACCCATATTTCGCCAAATTTCGCTAAGTGTCCTGACTGATACATTTGTCATACGTCCCATATTGATTTCTGTGGTTATGTCAAGCAGTGTGTCCTGTCTACCAGAACTGACATCTCTAAGGAAATGCCGCTCAAACCTTTCATAAAGTGAAGGCCACTGCATTGTCTGTGCTGAGAGGTTATGCCTGAAATTAGATACACTTGACACACTCTTGACACTTCGAACCTTGAAATATTGAAGTCCCAACGATTTCATAAATGGTATGTCCCATGTGTTTAGCTCCAACTACCATTCTGCATTCGAAGTCTGTTAATTCCTATTGTACCATATTGCTATCCCATGGCTTTGGACTCTTGTCCTCTGATTCTTCTAGATAGGCAGTCGGGAGCTAACCCACTCCTGATCAATCGACTTGGACTAGGGTTGTGCTGAATTCCACGGCAGGGCAGCACTGTGACATCTTCCCACTATATCTTCGTGTCAACCCTGGCACCCCACTGGGTGTCCCCTTGTTGGACTCCGTGGTGGGTGAGGAGCATTGAGATGAATCCGCTTCAATTCTATGGAGTGTAAAACAAACCCCTTATCCTCTTCCGGAAGGAAGAGGCGATGTTTTGAGTAGTTTCATCTTTAGGGAAGGAGATAAACCAAAGAAATCACTATTTCTTTTGATGGCGTGCACGGAAGAAGGAAAAACATTTAAAGTACTAGTCCGGTTCGTCTTGCGTGAGAGAGGAATGGTACGATTCTCTTCGTAGCACGCACCAATAAGCGAATCGACAAAAAATCTTGAAAACAAAGCAGATTGCCAGCCTCCAGGTGGAAGTGACCACTCACCCTATCTTTAACCTATGTAAGGGAGTGGTGAATAACGAAGACTTTGCGTCCAGAAGTGAAGAGGAACTTCCGTCTTTCTTCAAGACGCAGGGTGTAACGAAGGTGGTTAGGATCAAGAGGAAGGAGAATGAAAGAGAGATCCTCCCACTCTGATCCCGACGTTTAATCTCCCCTCTCTCCCAAAGAGGATTAGTTATGGTTTTTATAATCTTCACTTGTGGCAGTATGTGCCAAACCACCTGCGTTGCTTCCAGTGCCAGAGGTTCGGCCATACCCAACATCGGTGCATGTCCTGTTTGCGCAAAGTGCGTCAGATCCACGCACGAAACGGATCCCTGTTCCTCGCCACTTCGCTGTGTTAACTGTGAATTATTTATTTACGTTAAAAACTGTGTAAAGTGCTTTGGGGAGAAGTTAATTTGAAGTTACATTTATATCCAGAGGCAAAACAAGGGGCCATCTCAGCATTTGCTCGAGGATCAGGGAAACTGGCCGAAAACCTGAACAAGATAGGGGTTGTTGACCCAGAAGCTGAAGTACAATACTTGCTACAGATTCTTTACGATCCAAACGGTATATATAATACATTAAATGTCATTGATAAAATCAATGTTACTTTCGTTTTGGATGCTCGGTATAGTCTCTAATTGTATAGAAACACTTTTATATCGGAAAAGAGTTTACTTGGGACTTAAACTTTGGTATCGAATTTAATTGTTTAATGTTATCTGGCAAGGTGTTGTAAAATAACGTATATGTATTATATGTGAATTTTTGTAGTGAGCCATTGATTCTGTCACCTAATGGATATGATTAGTACGTTGAGTGTTGTAGTTATAAACAACGGCGTTTGCTGAAAATAAATTCCTACCCTTAAGTAAATCATTTTTGACAAAAAACACTGATTCATGATGATGAGACAAGGTAATGGTAGAATACCTAGATTAATAAAGAGAGGCTTACAAGAATCACGTGGGTGGGATTTACTTATTATTCGTACAATTCTTTTTTGTTGTCTAAAAGTCAGGGAGCTATAAGATGTATTTTCCCAGAATTTTATGCCATATCTCGGGCAGGAATGAACATTCGCGAAATATACAGGAGAAGTGTGGCGGCTGACTGAATTTGAAAGAATTCTGAAAGCGTAACAAAGAACTTAATTTAGTGTTCAATTCATTTAAATGGATGTTCCATTTAAGGTTTGACTGAATTGAAAGAAAAAAATTTTGTTACCTTAACATCAGTAAATGGCAAGTCTTTCATTCTCAGTAAAGTGCAGAGCTGTTTATTTGAAATGAAAAACTGCATTGAAACAGTTATCTTTTCATTAACCATTAGTTTGTTTTATGGAACCAATTTGAAATATATGATATTGTACTATTTACGGTTTCTTTATTGCAAAGAATATTCGTATCATCTGCAAAGAGAACTGTTCTTCCATTTCTAATCGTCAAGGGCATATCGTTTACGTACAGTAGGAAGAGAATAGGTCCTAAAATCGATCACTGCGGGACTCCACATGCAATTGGCAAAGAATCAGAAAGGTGTGTACACAATCTTCCATTATTCCAGTAAGGGATTTCTACTCTCTGTTGTTGCAAATAACCAATCTAGAGCAACACCATACGAAGGTCAACTCGAACAGGTGCTCTACCTATCTGAGGGAGAGGGAGATCCAAAAGATCAGAATGACAGAGAAAGTATCTTTTGTGTGATCTCGGGTGTGGCATTCTGTCCCAGACAAGCTATAAAAAAAATAGTTTCTTTAAACTCCGCTAACTCAATAGACTCACTCTGAGTGATCTCTTAGCCCGTCGAGCAATGGTCAGGAGGAATCTGTCTTGGAGGAAACTTCAGCCGGTGTGAATAGTTGCCGCTTTGGGTTACAGAGGCATAAACAGAAAAAGGGGAAGAAAAAATCCCTTTAGAAATAAGAAACTGAACATCTAAAAGTTATATAGATAAAAGAAATATAGTAAAATTAAATATATTTCGAATCTTATACTTTTTAAAATCTTTATATTTGCTGCCCTTTTAAAAAGGATTTAATTTTGCGAGTAGATGATAGACAGTGGATTATGAGAAATGATTCTATACGTTCAATCATGACGGTTCTTTATGAAAATTTATAAAAAGTTAGTCTTGTACTATAAAGCTATTCAAGAACACAAACTTTATTTCATTTGTATTTTTCACTGACTTTTTCAGTAATTTTAAGTTACTATTACTCAGTGGCAAATTCCTTTGTTGAGTTTTTGAGTTCAATTTGAAGAGAATGTTTCATTGACTGATACATCTTTATTATGCTACTAGTGTGTTTCATACTTGGAGAGAAAATTAGACAAGCCATCTTTGGCTTATGAAGCAAACATTTTGTACGTTTGTGGATTGTGTGAAAGTAAAATTTTGATGCACTGCTTTGTCTTGTATTATCATCGGTAGTAGATAGTTTCATGAAATTATAACAGTGAATTTTATTTAGTTAAAAGTATCACATCCATCGTCTATCAAAATTATCAATCTGTCAATTGTATATGCTTAATGTACATGTATCCTTTTCCATTAGCCTCAAATTTATTTCACAAGCCAAATACGTGTAATTCTCGTTTTGTGTGTTATGTTTTTGTTCATCACTAAACTATATATGTTCCGGAATATGAAAACTTTGCAATTCACATTATTCGAAACGGATGGGACTCTGGCCCATATTGGATTTCTGTGAACATTTCTCAGTTCACAGGAGCTAGTTTGTTATTTTTTTTAAATTTAGGATGTTCTCTATTTAAAATGGCTAAAAATTTGCTTAAATTGAATTTAAGTAGTGCGTCTATTGTTTGTAATTTACTGCAGTTTCTTGACTTGAAGGATATACTTCATTTTTGTTTTTTTATTAATTATGTTTTGTGGTTGCTTCAGTTTGCAGTGCCCCTTTATAGGAGTTTCTCTAGATGACATTGAACCTGGCCATCGGTTTGGTGCATCGTTAATCATTGAAGCTCTGAGACAACTGATTCAAAGCATTCATCATCGGGCAGGGTTTTTGAATGTCTATCAGTCACCAATGGAATGTTCTGAACCTGACATAAGGTATGGTCTATAAATTAATATTAAAATAATATATTTTGGACTAACTTACACCTTCAATATGTTTCAGATTTAAATGTTTTAATTAAGGTTAGAAAGAGAATACCTAAAGAATTAGTTATAAAAACTATAATTAATATATAATAATAATAATAATAATAATATAATAATAATAATAATAAAATAATTATTCATTATTATTATTATTATTATTTATTATATTATTATTAAAACATTTAAATCTGAAACATATGAAGGTGTAGTTATTTATATTATAATTATGAGTTCACATATACAAATTACAATCTTGTATACGAGTCCCCAATATATGCCTTGGTGGAGAGGAGCGAAGTAATATTACATGTTCAGGAGCAACAAGAGCCATCTCAGCATTGCTCAATAGAATCAGGGAAGATTGAACAAAAACCTGATCGAGTATGGGGTCATGGCTAGGAAATTACAATACTTTTACAGTTAATTAAAATATTATACAGTAGATAAATTATCTCTGCTAGATAAATTACATTTTCAATAGATATTTTAATGCTACTACTGTATATATATTATATTATAATAATTACATTAATAATACATATCATTATGTTGTTGCATTACATCAAATTAACAATAGTAGTACATTCTATATTTATAACTTTGAAATGGTGAGGAGGCAGTTGTTTGGACCAGTTTTTTTCTTTCTTCCTATTTCCTTCAATTTCACAGGATGTGATATGCAAGTTCTTTTTTCTTTGCTTCAGCCTTGAAAACAGTTCCACATTGAACAAAAGTCTAACGAATTAGAATTCTTATTTATTTATATTTTTTAAGGGAAATGTTGTAATTTTGAAAATTCCTTTACACTGTAGAAATGTTAGTTAAGCAGGAAATGCTTTCAATTTTACTTTTAAATTGATGAAATTGTGTTTTGCTTTAATATTCATTGCCTAGTTTGTTGTTAAAGTGTAATGCCCTCCTATTAGGTACTTTTTTGATAAAAATTGTAGTTTTCAGAGTGGGGAACGTGTAGTTATCCTTTTGACGGTGTTGTAGTTAGTACTCAGATTTAAAGTAAAAGTGTCTTTGTTTCCATGAAATTTTCTTTTGAAGACCACTATTTCAAGTATGTACATGCATTGTAGAGGAGAATCCTTAGTTTTTAAACAAGCGTTTGCAAGGATCCAGCTTTATGAGTGCTGGTCATTGTTCGCAGTATTCTTTTTGGATAATAAATGTGCGAGTGCTTTTCAGGGCAATTTCCCAGAATATTATTCCATATTTTAGGTGTGATGCACATTATGCAAAATACATTGTTCCGAAGTGTCTCAATGTTGGGCTTGACCTGAGGGTGTACAGGCATAGCAAGATTTGCCTTGAGCTTCTTGTGAGATTGAGGATGTGAGTTTCCATTGTAGGTTTTCTTGAGATTGTTAGACCAAGGAAGCAGTTCATGAGATATCGTTACAGGGTTATATTGTCTTATGAGCAAATGCTGTGAGAGTTTTTTCTTTTAGATCGAGGATTCCATGAAATTTAGAGTCTGTCTTCGGTGTTTATGATGAGTTTGTTTCTTGAAACCATTCACTAGGGCTTGCAAAGTTTTGCGAGTTGCTTTTTCTAATGATTGTATGTGTTTTTTGCATTGTGATATGTTGTGTGTCATCTGCAAACAAATTATTTTGTTGTTCCTTAAAGAACCCCAAAGCATGTCATTGTGTATATAGAGGAAATAGTATTGGCCCAAGGATGGATCCTTGCGGACTCCACAATTTATTATTTGAGGACGGAGTAGGATGAGGAGATTTGTTTCTTAGTGTGTTGGAGGGCAACTATTTGTCTACGATTTGATAAATATGTTTTTGATCCATTGCTGCAATGCCTCGAATCCCCTACAATTTCTAGTTTTCTTAAAAGTAGTATTGATGGTCAATGATGTCAGGCTTTGACAAATCTTAGAAAAGGCCAATTGGCGAATTTCGCTTCTGATTGTAGTGCAACAAGTATGTCATTTAAAAAGGAGAAGATGGCGTATGTTCTGTGGATCTATTACTCCTGAGCCATGTTGTACATGTGTTAGGACATTATTTGCATTGAGAAACTGTTTGAGGTCTATCAATTGAAAAGTTCGTTCCCAGAATTTTTGAAAATCCTGATACAGGGAAATAGCCTGTAGTTCATTGGTCATAAGTATCTGCCCTTTTTAAACAAATGGTTTAAGTTTTGCTGTTTTAATAATATCTGGAATATGCCTGATTTTAGAGCAGTAATTGCAGATGTGAGAGAGTGGTTGCACTGATACATGGAGCAACTGTGTTTAATTAAGAAAATCTGCGAATGTTGTCCATGCCTGCTGAGAATTTATTCCCATTGGGCAATGATTTTTAAAAAATTTCAGAGGGGTGTTTCATATAAAAATATGGAATTTACAATCTGTTAATATTATGTTTGTTGGTTGTGTTTTATGTTTAGAGAGTGTTGAGAATTAACATATTACTAATTTGTGAAAAGTGTTCATTAAATATATAGCTATTTCTTTAGTGGGGCTCTACGTTTTTGTTTTTGTAGTGGAGCTCTATGTTTTTTTTGTGTTATATTGTTTGTGCTTGTAGTCTTTTTAATAATGTCCCACATGGCTTTGTGTTTTATTACGTGCCCAATTGCAATGTACTTATCAATTTGTTTAATTTTGCTTGTTGATTACTTTTTTTAGGGATCGAATTATATGTTTTGTAAGATTGAAATTAAAGTTTCATTACATTTTTAATTTTAGTATTTATTACATGTTGCGTTCCTTTCTTCCACATGACACTTTGATGCCATGTCGGAATCCATGATTTATTTTTCTCATATTTTGGATCTTTTTCAGTTTTTGAGGAAAATCATTGAAATGTCTAAGTATATTTATGAATGAGTTAAACTTATCATTTGTATCGGTTTGCCTTATATACTTCATTTCCAGTTTGCAAAATTTTGAGCAAGTTTTAAAATTTTATTTGTTTCCTTGGGAATAGTTACAGATTTCTTTGTAAGTGTCATGATTCCGCGTTTTTGTTTCTGTGGAAGTGTTAGGTTCTGGACATGTTGGTCACGGAAGCGTGTATTTAAATGTAGCAACAGAAAAACAATGGTTATTTGCATCTATTATTATTTGATCTATAGCAGTGCTCCTATTTTTGGATATTCGTGTTGTGTATTTATGGTTGTTTGTAAATTGTATGATTTTAGTAAGTCTTTAAATAGATTTTCATTACTGGATTGTGTCAGGCAATTTATATTGAAGTCACCACAAAGAATAGTTTTATACTATCTGTGTTTTTGAAGTTTTGTTAGAATAACTTCCAGATTTTTTAAAAAGGATTTTAAATATCCAGCAGGGCTGCGATATGTGCATAATACCCATGTTTTTATTGTTGTTAAGTCAGTGATGGATATTTCAAAGTCTTTCTCTTTTACAAGATGAGTGTGATTTGTGTAGGGTAGAAAACTAATTGTATTTCTAATAAAAATGCATGTCCCACCATATGCGTGATGTGCATTATTAATATTTCGACATGAGCTACTGGCTAGAGAGAAACCTGGTATATATGTGTTATCTAATTGTTCTTTAGTTAGTCAGTGTTCTGTGAAGCACAATACCGAAATGTTGTTGAGTTTCTCCTCAAGTAATATTTCTATATCAGTGAGTTTATTTTTCAGAGACTGTACATTTTGGTGAAGAATGTGCAAATAGTTTGTTTTTTTGTGTATTGTTTGCTTTCCTGCCGATGTTTTGAACTGATATTACACTATCTTTTAGTAACCCAAATCTTTATGTATTAACCTTTGAATGATTGTTATAATGCAGATATTAGAGAGACAGTCAATAACGTGAATAATGTAGGATGACAGGTGATGAAATCATACATGTTAATTGTTTAGAATTGAAATCTCAGATGCTAACGTTTTACTACAACATTTGTAAATGAGGCTCCAGGCAAAAGCAAAATGGATTGAATTAGTATTTTCTTTAATCAGTCTTTGTTTGAGATGCGAATTTAATGAAAAAATATATTTGTTAAATAATTATCGAAATGCAATGTTCTCTGAAATTGAGAAGTGACAGAAAGGAGCAAAAACATTATTTACTTAATTGTGTAGGACTTCTTCAGCATAGTGACAATGATAGAGAAAGTAAAGATTTATTAGCTGCTGACTTGCTCATCTTAGTTTGTCCATAGAAATGAAGAAAATCAGGCTTGGACAGTGTTAGGAAAACCATAGAAAATCCAGAGAACAGAACTTCTTAATAGACAATCTTCAGGTGAACAAGATGTTACAATACGTCTATATTACAAATTGCCCATGCTTGCAGAAAAGGAAAAAAAAAATACAGCCTTTGGCAATGTGAGAGGTGTCTATGGTTGCATTGGATACTGAGTAACTCAGAAAAAAATCCAAACAAAAGCGATGCAAATGTTTTGATTTTGCATGAAAAATGCATATATTTGTATTATTCCACGTTTGCATGCTGTGCATAGACCGAATTCTCATACGTGTCATGACGTACATGACAGCTAATCTTAATTGATAGCAAGACTCTTTGGAAGAGATCACCTACCATTAAATATTTGCCACTCGCATGGGACAGCAACTCTGTTGTTAGTCTTGATATGTAAAGGAGTGTTGTACTGTGTATAATGTACTATGCTATGTTATTGCAATACTCATGACTCTTCTTGTTAATGTATTTAATTTATTTTGTTGTTATGCAGGAGTATTTTATTTGTTGTTGAGCAATGATCATGCTACTTTGTGGAAAACTGGTTTTCGTGGTTTTTGTTTGGCATTTTTGGTGCTGCATGCCACTAGTTTATATTACTAATTTCCAATGCACACAAAAATTGAATGAAAACTATTTAAAAGGCCTCTGGCCTTTTGAAAAGTGTCTGTGATTTTGTTAGATACTCAGCAACAACTAAAACGAAGTTTCTAACTTGAGGCCTGCAGTAGCAAAGATGCCACTGCACAAAACCACACAAAGTGGTTTTCCAAATTGTATCATGTATACTGCTCAAGAATATCAAATAAAATACTCTTGAATTCCGCAATAAATTAAAAATTTTATCAAAAACATTCTTTATGCATACTGCAATAATGTAGTGTGAGAAATGTACTGTACAACAGTTCTTTATGTATCAAGAATAACAACAGATTTGCTTTTCTATAACATGACATGCGGGAGTAAATATTTAATAGCAGGCGACCTCTTCCTTGAAGTCATACTGCCACCTAACTTCACAGCTTGACATGACGAGCCATGATCGTTTTAGAAAGGAAGTGGATATCTGCAAGTGGGAAGTAGTGTACTTATCTTCTTCCACCCTTTTGCTATTGGAAACATTACGTTTATGTCTCTACTCCCTACTGTGCATCAAGATAACTTTAGAGATACTTAACATTTTTGATATCTTTGCTTCTTTATATTATCCACCGGCCATCAAACACACCTGCGAAAGATAATACACTTGTGCTTGTGATACAAGAGATTCAACAAACCTCTGAGATCAAGAACTTGATATTTCTCAGTGACCAACTATTCTAGAATAAACTGGGAAACTACATTATGTACTTTTGTCTGTCTATTAGCTGACAGGAAAACACATTTTTGGAATTATATGAGAGTAACAATTTGCAACAGCCGGTAATAAAGCCCACTAGATTGAATAAACCTGAGCCACTCCTAGATCTATGCAACAACAATGGATTACCGTCTTCCTGTATAAACTTCAGATCACCTGGTCCTGTTATCAACTGTATGCAACTATGAAACAAACAATTGATATGCTAATTCTGAACCTATGTGCTAAAATTATTATAGACCAGATACAGATAGATCAAATTTATATAATGGATTAAAGATCAAAATGCTCTTGCTTAACTCTACAACATGAATTTTGGAGTGAATCTTCAACTATAGAGGAAAAGCATCTATAGCATGGAAAAAGCTGAATAAAAGTATTTCTTTGAATTCCTGTGTGGCTCCTGGCAGCCTTAAAACTATGGTAGTGATAACTGCTGCAAGTGAGACGTTGAAAATCAAATCCTCAACATTGAATATCAAATACTCAAATACATCATTAACAAAGCTAGTGACAAGGAAATAAAGGATTATAAAGAAAATTGGACCATTGAATACCAAAATATTTCTAATAACTATCTCGGATGACAACTTTCTCCCATACATCATCACTGATGCGGCGTGATGGACTATTATGTACAAAACCTTTGGAAATTCCTGTTATATTGACACTTTTGTTAAGGTAAGCAGAGTCGAATTTGCACTTTACAAAAAAATTGACATGAACAGAAAGACTTCACTTTGATCAGCGTTCAGTCCAGTCCAGTAGAATGCATAAGTGTGAATTATGATACACACTCCTCCAAGGGACCTAATGAAACTCACACTATCGGGCTTAACTCTCATCATTCTTGGTAAAAAAAAAAAAAAAAAGTAGACATAGGTGAGTGGTGGAGGTGGAAAGTGGGGTGGGAGGGTGTGTATTATTCCAAGATATATATCTCATGAAAATACTTTCATACTCATACTTTCAAAAGAAAGTATCTTCCACCAAATTCTTGTTCATTGCATTGTAATAATGCACATATGAAATAAAACGCATGAATTAAAAGAGAATGATTTGTTTTGACAGCAAAAAGGTAGAAAATCAAAACTACATTTCTTAATAATAAATATTTTAACACTTATACCTACGGTTGTATCTTATACCTCATCTTCATTTCATTGCTGGTCTTATGGACATGTCATACTTTTTCTACATTTATAGTGTGTGACAGGCAATAAACATCTTTCGGACATTTGCAGGCACCTGTAATAAGCATTTTAATATCAGTGGTCACAGGACAAAAACCAATGTGTGCATCTATTTTTTGCAAGTATTTGGAATTTTTCCAGGAAGCAATTGGATATTCATACTTGCGGGCACAGTCGATAACGTTCAGGTCTTTCTTTGTAAGTAGTATTCCTGCTATTAGCAACATCCACAGATGTTTAGAAGACCCAGTTGTAAAATTCACAGTGATTCTCAACATTAGAACTTCGAGAGTTTTTGAATAATCGATTGAAACTGGATTCTTCTGATGAGGACATCAATTTTATTCCTGTACTGTAGTCTAGTTTCAGGAGAGTAATAATGATGCGAATGATTCCATTTGTGAGTCTTCTCAAAATCAAGAGTTTTCATTTCCTTTAGAATGCTGTGAAATTGATAATCTAAGTTATAAGTGTTTGAGCAAACCAGTGAAATAAAATTTCCTGTAAATGAAGATTCAACTGAAGTAGACCATTTTTCATCATTTTTTCTACCACAGTTTATTTCGAAAAATAAAGGCAGAAATAAATATTCTCAAATGGGACCATCTGAACTTCAACAAAATATAATTGTATTGTACCAGTATTGTTGACACATGAAGTTCTGTTCTGTTCTCCCCCTATATTTTGTAACATTATTACTTTCCGCAAAAACTATAAAATTGACGTGTATTTCTTTGAAATCCATTCTCACTACCATCTTATAATCAAATGAACATAAAATACGTACAGACTAAAGAGAAAAGACAATACTACAAGACTTTATCAATTTCCAACAGATATGTACAATAGTTTTTGTTTTACGTTTTGAATAAGAACTACATTGCCCAGGACATAGGAGTTAACCATATGTAATATCCCTCAGAATTGAATATGTTGTTTTAATTTATTACAAAGAACATGAAGGTTTTCTTTTAAATTATAAAAAGTCACAGGTAATTAAAGATATTAAGTAATAGAAAACTTCAAAATTGTTGAAAAACTAAGAAAACTCCAGTAGCTGTAACGGAGTGCTTCTGTTTGAATCATCACTATTGATGTCAAAAACAATTCAACTCCAGCCACACCAAACATCAGTTACCATGTGCCAAAGTGTAAAATATTACACAAGTTTTAAATTTTCATAGGGTATGACAAATCCAACAATGCAGGGTTAAGAAGTAGGTCTTCACTCTAAGCCATGTTATTGTTTTTTGACACTCATTTGAAGGTCGACTACCCCTACCTGTACAAAAAGATAATTTAATGCAACTTAACTTAAATTGTACACCAATTTTGTTAATATCTACAATAATTGAAAGAATGGGGAAAAAACAACTGATAAAAATGTGTTACTTTAGTTAGTTACACAATTTTTTCACACTAGGCTAACCTTTGTTTTACTGTCTAGTGGTAACTCTGTCAAAAATCTTGTTTTGAACACTGGGAAATATAATCTAAATACGCATTCTAGACTACAACATAGGTCGGCAATACATTGCTCGTGATTGACCAAATTGCTCTCCATGCCATTCCCAGTAGCTTGTGGTGAAATTTTAGTAAATCCTGGTACCCTTTAGTAAATTTGATAGTTGAGGTGGGATTATCATCTCAGGAAGGCAGCAGATGAGAATACACTCTGCTGACATCACAATAAGATGATTGACCTTTGTCAAGTGCATTGCAAAGTGATGGGTATATTTTAATTTTGTTATTTTATTGTGAAAAAACTCTTAACAGTTTATATCCTGAAAAACACAAACATGTTGTATACATTGATAAATATCAAATTATCCATTTTATTTGGTAGTTTTTTGGGTTTGTAACTGATATTTTATTAAGTAGCTCACATACGCTTTTGAGAGTATTTTACATGATTCAACATTTTCAAAATTTTCTCAAAAATAACTCAAAATATTTGGCTTTAATTTTTTCGGGGATAGAGCAGAATATGCATAAAAAATAGAGCAGGTTCATTGTTTGTTGTACTTTGAATTTTCGAGAATTGCAAAACTTTAAACATTTGTTTGTGCCTTCCACTACAATATTTTTTCTTTTTTTGATAAAATCTGTTCAAAGATAATCTCTAAATTACATCGTGTAAAATTTTTGAAAATGCATTGCATCTATTCCACTTTCTTTTTTAAGAATGTGGAAGATTATTGTGCAATCTGAGCTATTTGGTATAATGGATATTCTCTTAGCTTGCTCAACCTAAGTATGAGAGTTCAAATCCCAGTGTGAGCAAAAATTGACCCAGTTGCTGAAGAAAATCAAATAAAACTAATCAAAATTAAAAGTAGAAGAACATACTTGTTCAGTGTTCCCTCATGGCCTTTCACCACCATTCACTCGTGTAAGCACTTTATCATGGGACTTCTCATTCTTACTACCAAATAACTTACAATTGTTACCAAATTAAATGACACAGAAAAGTAAGAAATTGAACCCATTCCTGTAGGTTTTTGAAGCTAAAATTTTCTCCTTTTTTATGTTTTGAACATTCTTTAGAAAAATTTTGAATCAATTCATTGTTTGAAACCGTGAATGTCCCTTGTTGGAATTGTTCCTAGCATCACCACAATTGTAGCGGCAGAATATTATGGGTAATGCCCTTCTCATACATCTTTTCACTATTCTATAAATAGTATCTGCAACAATGCAGGTGATATGTGAGGGGAGCATCTTCACCACTCAGTATGTAATATAATTTTTATTTCAGTATTGATATTCTAGTCAAATTATTGTTTTTGTGTTAAATGTAATTTCATATAACGCAATCGTCAGCAATGCCTGTGCACTGTAGTCTCATAAATGAAATACAAAGGTAATTTCCAATAGAATTTTGGTTGATTTGAAGCTTTATTTTCATGCCTCGCCTTTTATTGAAATTCTGTATCTTCTCAACCTCAATTCAAGGTAAAACCAATTCCAATTGAGACCAAACACTTTCGATTTAATAACAAAGGCATTCATATTGAGATCAAGCAAGTTAAAAAAGTGTCAAGGTTCAGTTTGAGTTTGAAAAGGTATACATGTGTATCCAGAATTTCAGATCATAAATGACAGTGTAGGTAAAATTTGACCTCTGGATGTAAGTAGTGTAATGTGTGAATTTCTTTCTTTTCAGGATCATTATGTGTATGTTCTGTGGTGATCCATATTCTGTGGAAAATATTTTAAGTCCTCTGTTGAATCATCAGTGTTGTTTTCTAAGTGGTGATCGTAGTATTATTTTGGAAACTTTTCTTGGAGATTCTAAAAGGAAAGTTGAAGTAATTATTTCCTCTTTCCATGGTGCGAATGCATTCAGAGAAGAATTAGTTCATGGTTTCATTTTGGTGTACTCAACTAAGAGAAAAGCATCGCTGTCAACATTAAAGTAAGTGAATGAAACAAAAAATTTAACTTCTTTTTTAATTAATGATTTTCAATTTACATTTCTGTTTTGGCAACAATATGAGCATTTACTCTGTGTAACATACAATGTGTGTTTCAGTGCCTTCTCTATGAACATTCCAAATTTACCGATTCAAATTCTAGCTGTTACTGACAGTGGAGGAGCTAATGCATTTTTCAGCAGTGATTTAAGTCATCTTCTAATTACTGAAGGAAATGCAACAGCTGATAGATTGCAAGCTCACTTCATGACATCTACATCGTCATCTCAACAAAAAAGTCAGTGAATTTCTTCTGTTGGTAATGTTGAAGATTTATTACATTACTAGGTATCAGATTTATAGGGTCTAATAATTCTTTAAATATGTATTCATTTAAGCAGTAAAATCTTCAAAAATATGGATGTATTATTAAGTGATGAAGTCTTCAAAAGAGAAATTTCCCCTTGTGAGTTAAAGCATCTTCTTTAATTCATTTGATGGTAAAGTTGGCAAGACTTGTTGGATGTGTTGTTTTGGATTGTTTGGTAGGTTGGAGGCAATAAAAGTTGCATTGAGGAGTTCATCAGCGTTACCAATTGTCAAGATTTACTCACAGTGTACATTACTGAAAACTATCGGGCTTTCCCAGACGAATGCTGTGCGTAATTTAGGTAAAGAAATCGATATTAGCCACAAATACTGTATACAGGCAAATTTATCGTACAAATTGGATAATAAAATTAACAGATTAAAATAATGAAGTACGTATAATGATAAATAATTTCCAAGATAATGAACAGTATGATTAAATATTTGCTGAAATATGATGCTTATTGAGGGAACAGGCAAAATATATGTTAGATCCACCACAAAATAGCATTTGTGTGATGGAAACTAAATGTTTTATACACATACCAAATGAGCACTATTTCTGACTGCAGGGAAAGTGTATTTGCATTAAAATCTTTTTCCTTTACTTTATATCTGCGTATGATATTATACTTAAGATATCTATTACATCGGAGAGTTGGAAACTGTTTCAAAAATTCTTGTTTTGGATCAGAATGGTTGTTCTGAATGTTTAACTTCATTTTACTTGAAGGCCCTTTTAATCAATATAAATGGCTAAACATCATATGACGTTTGTTGAGTAAGGAATACAAAATTTTAACTAAAGCATAGTAATAAAGGACTATAAATTCAAAATTAATTTCACAGACTTCTTAAATTTAACAGTCATTATCAAAGAAGTCAATATCATTGCACAATTGATTGGCCTCGTGCAAAAGTCTGTTGAATATGTTTGTTATATAATTACATGTAAAAAAAAATGTTGGTGAATTATGGGTTTATATTGCGGAGCATAAAGTTGCAGTTTTGAAAGAATCTTTGGACAGTTCATATAATAAGAGAGGAAAAGTTAAAATGATTTGGATTTCTTTGTATTCATTTTAGTACAGAGAGGGAAAATTAATGTTGATAGGTTTGGGAACACACGAAAAGTTAAAGAAATTTGGTTTCAAAATTTTGCCTCTACCATGAATTAAAAAGATAGTCAACAGGGATGTTCAGTTGTCATTAAAAATAATTATAAGCTAAATTTTTAACGCAATTCTTCAGTTGCATTATAAAGAACAGAAGATTTTATAATGAAGAATAGCCAATTTTCTCATTATGAAAATTATTTTCATGTGAGAAAAATTAGCACCCTTCCTTGGTTACCAGAGGATTAAAGCAGAGAAATTGGAAAAACGCAAGGAAAATAGGTTCAGGCAGGCACCTATTTCCTGTGCCCTTCTATAGACATTTCTTTCCCATCATCGGTTTCAAAACATGGTTTGTTTCCTGCATTTACTATGTTACCTATATACTCTTTATACGATGCAGTATCAACAACTTCCAACACATAACAAACTCACATGTGCGCACATGCCCTCACTCACATTGAGTAGCTGATTAAAGTTGAGAACCAACATTGCTGCTATATCTGCACCAACTGTCTAGGAGGTCCTAGGATTTGAGTCCTGATGATGGCGGATTTCCACCATTAGCTGAATAGCTAGGTCAAATTCAGCTACTGTCTGGAGGATAATCCTAGTAGAAAGCTGCTCTGTTTAGTAGTTCTCCATGGTTTCTCTAATCATTACGAGATGAAAGCTAGAGCAATACTCTAACAAATGGGCCACACACTGCACGCGATCTTCCCTTCCTCTTCCTATCCTATCTCTACTACCACACACGGCAGGAGCTGAGAGCTTTCTCAGCTTGGGCAGTGCCCCGCTGGTGGAGATACCTGGATGATGAAATCCCCTGCAAGCCAGTGTGTAGCTTGGTGTTGGATCTCACCATCCTCAGGGGAGAAACACTGCCACCTCTCACAATAAAACAATAACTACACTAATTGAGAGCGTTTAGGGCAGTGAATGATTGACAGCTTCTATAACGGATGAGCGTCGCCATAGACCGCATCGCTCTCCGCTAAATATTCTTCCACCAGTCAGCTGATTGGCATTAACAGCTGGCTGCGGTTGACTTAATTTTGTTGTTAAACATAATTTTGATCGTGTGGAGGGTAGAAACAGTTTTCACGAGAGATTCATTTAATTCCGTCACATTAATGATGAGAAATTGTACTAAGTGATTCAAAACATTTCGAAATACTGTTGAGAATATGTGTGATAGATTGAATTAAGTCATCAGCTACGAGAATGAAATGGAATATACTGCAAAACTCCCACGTAGGACTTGTATAAACTATTGGAATTCTGCCGGTACTTTTTGATCTTGCGTGTTCAGAAGATTCAAATTAATGTGTGCTGTATAATATTTGCAGTTATATCTGGTGTTTATAATTACATTTCATTTTCATGTTGCTCATCTTATGACTGACAGCCAGTGTATCAATTATTGGTCAGTGACTTACAGATATGGTTAGTTAATTGTGAATTCGTTGTAATAATACTTAAATACTATAATTTGTTCAGTGATTGACTGGTAAAACAGGGCTTAATTGACATGTTAGGCATGTATAATTAACATAAAACTACCTTTAATTTGCTATTTTGTTTTCATAATTCTGGATTCTCCTGTTTGTACAATCTTGGAAAATTTCCACACTACAGTCAAAGATTTCTGTGGGAAAAGGGTCCAAGTTAGTAGATATTCTGGAGAACTGTTTGGCAGAATTCTCAGTTAATTCAATTGATCAGGAACTTCACGTAAATTTCTTAAATATGGAAATCAAGTCGGTTCTTAAAAGTAAGATAAAAAATAGGTTAAAAACTGCTATAAATTATTGTACTCGCCTGTCATTCAAAGGATATTAAATAATATATTCAACTTGATGAAAGATGAATGTTATTTCATGATCACTGTGCAAGTTTTAGCCTTAGAAATGAAAATTAAAATGTTTCATACCTTCAATAACTTTATTACATAATATAAAAGTCAATTAGAAATTAGGTGAAAGGTAATATAAAAAAGCAAACGTATAAGTGAAAAAATAATTCCCTTTATGTGCATGATTATTTATTTGAAGGATACAACAGTTCCACCGAATCCATTTGAAATTCAATAAATTTTATCCACTTAGATAATTTAAAGTCCTTAAAATGAGTTTCCTAAGTCCTTTTAAAAAATATTCACAACCTACTATTAACATCTCCAGCCTCAGCCTACCACATTTGCCAGGGTAAGGAGTAAAAATTTTGAAATAAAAATTATACATTTGAATTTTTGAAAAGAGGATAAAACAATGAACGATGTACGTATTGTATCTTCTTATATGACAACACTTTATTGGTTATCAAAGCAGTCCTAACAGCCGATTTTGGTAATTTTAATAATGTATTGCATTAAGACGTACAATACGAGAAACTAACATACTGCTCAAAAGATAAAACTTTTCTTTTCATTAAATCTGCATTTCTATTTCTTTTTTATTAAAATAACTATTTTTTCTATTACTTGAAGTTAATTTTTGATGAGTATGAATGAATGTTATTGAAATATATTTTCAACCCATTCATTCACAATCAAACCTTTACTTCACATACTTTCATTCACATATCATTTTACATACCTGATTCATATACATAAAAAATTAACTTCATATAACTGAAAAACTTCTTTCTTTTAATAAAAAAATTGAAATTGTACAATAATTACTAAAAAGAATTTACAAAGGAAGTTAACATGTGCACACATAATGAAGGGTCTAGTTATATCTTCTGAGAAGTACACCTTAAAAAAACACCTACCCATATGGAGGACAAAAAGTTACATTACTTTTGGGAAGCAAGCACAGGAGCATTTATTTCAAAGGCATATTTATTTCAGTAAGCCTAGATCAGCTTAAAAACAATAAAGATTCACTATTTCACCTGTAATGTAACCACTTACTTGCCTTCGATAGAACTTTTAATTCTGCACCTGAGAAGAACAAGAGTTATGTCAAATCTTTTTTCAAACCTATGAAATATACTGCATTAAACATGAAAATATACTGACCATATCTCTCTTAAGTAGAGACACAAGAGCCCAGGCATGGGAACAGCACGAGGAACGTTATCATCAGAGTCATCCTGAATATTTACTATGACAGAAATCCCTAAAGCATCCTGCCTAACTTCTTCTTTCTAATCTTCTTCTATAATTTTCTCTATGTTTGTCACATAATTCTTTCAACTAAAGCAATGTACAGAATGAATAAGTACTTTATATTAACAAATTTTCTGCAAAAAAACTCTAGACAATATTTTGTTTTTCATTTTAATATTTACTTACTTCTCCACTGAAACCTGGTTTAATGCTTGCTTTCATTTTCTTGTCACTGCTTGGCAGTCAAAAGTGGTTCCGTGATGTCTCTGATAATATATTTTGCACTGTCTCCATACCAACTTGATAGGATTGTAGTGACAATGGAAGGGGGGGGGGAGGCGCGAACCAGTTTCTTCAATCGTTTCATCTGCAACATATCTGCACCCACATCAACCGATATGATTTTTCAAATCATGAAAATATTGCCAATCACATTGTATCAAAAACATGCAAAAAATAAAACTGCCTTATTCTATGATTAATTCAACAAAACTTATGCTTAAGAGTACCTTTTCTGAACAACTACTTCCAAAGAAGACTCTTAAATGTTTGCTGCATGTCACCCTTCCTCCATTTTGATGAACGCCTTTTCACTTTCCAAAAAATTGGAAATGACAAAAGGATGGTTAAATATTTCATTTATATTCAAAGACACAATGCACTTCTTTTCATTCTCTCTATAAATACATACATACATTCTACTGGCAAAGTTGATGTTCTCTAAGAAAAATTGTATTACTGATATAACTAAAATCACTGAACACCATAGAATGTATAAATTTTTTATTCCACCCTCTTTAGTGAAACATCAACTTTCACCACAGTGTAGTTTTAATACTCGTTTTATAATCAGGTATTTTTATAAATGAATAAATGTATTATTTGAATGAATATTTTGCACATTTGTAAAAAACAATTGATGAAATGTCACTCACCAGCACAGATTGAACAGGCGCATTGTCCATTACAATAACTGATGGTTCTACTAACCAAGGTAATTATTCTTCTTTCATCCACTTTTGGAACGTCTCTGCTGTCATAGTTCTATGATATTTATCTACTTCTTTTGTCTTCGACGGAAACAATAGTTCTGCATCTTCGATGAAACCATTTGCACCTCCTGCGTATATATCTCCTGCACTATATATCTTTTACCTTCATCTAAATTTTTGCTTGAGCAACTTCTGTTTTTATCTTGCCATAACCAAGAGGCATAACCTAAACGATAGATTGTTAAAAACAATTAGTAAAGATGATAAAATCGTATTGAGCCACTATGTAGGTGCTTCAAACTGGACAAACGATATTCACCGTACACATAAGTCATTACACAGACTGCTATTTTTCAAAAGATGCATTTCATTACATGCAAATGATGCCTTCTCCATTTACTTATGTCTAGAATTTCATAATTTTCAACACTACAAAATTTAGTAGATTTTTTGCTTGCCTTTTGAATAAAACCAAGTTTCATCTAAAAGCACAAATTAATAACCTTCAACCTCCAGTTTCATATATTCTATCAAAAAGTCAGATCTTTCAATAATTATTATCATTTCTTTCCATGCCAATATAAATAAATTACTTACCATTCTCGTACCTTGAATAAATAATGCGCCTCATCAAGCCCTGTCCAAAATGATCCACTACCCATGTTCCATGTTTGGTTCCCTTCTGTTCCTGGTCACGTCCTTTCTGCAGTCTGAGCAGGATCAGGGTCTTGCTTCCACTAGCTGTAAAAATGAATTCACTTTAATGACATTTTATTGACTTTCATGACACTTAATTATAATTTTACTTACTTTTGAAGAATGTGAGTTTTCAGCCTCAATTCATAGGTAGTTTTGTCAATATCTGAAGTTTCTGTATTGCCTCGCATCATCAGCTCTTCCACAAATCTTGCAATAAAAAAGATGTCTTCTTGGCACTGATGCTGCGTCACTTCTCCCTTCTGCTGTGGACGCATTGCTAAAGTGTGCGTAAATTATTAACTTTTAAAAATAGTAACTTTGAATATAGTTTAAGAATTCTTCAACAATGTTTTATCACTATAATGAAATATTTTTCATTGAACTTTCTCCTTTGTCCGAATGACAATACGTTAGGTTGTGCCACACCGCCACGACACATTAGCCAACGATCGTGAAATGAAATCGAATCATTTCTGCATGTTAATCACTGGGCCACGCCTCCAGGCATGATCCATGTAGTATGGCATCAGTGGCTGTCAAAAAAACCGGTCACATGACTGAACGCTCTGTAGGGCTACTGACAATAGCAATTGCCATGGCTGGAACCATCAAGCAGTCAATCAATCAACATAGCTCTTGATGAGAAATCACACTGCAGGAACAGCTTAATAGGCCAGTTGCCCTGAACTAGGTTTTTCACTGCAGTCTGCTTGTGGTTCATTTTAGACATTGTAGAGAAGAGGTGTTTTTTTAAATTAATTTGTTCCGTTGTTGACATTATTATTATTATTATTATTATTATTATTATTACTATTATTATTATTATTATTATTATTAATAGCCCTTCATATCTTATGGCAATTTAGTACTAGTTGTACTGTTCGTGAATATTAGAATGAAAAATAAGTCTTGAAATTGTTGTATTGAATCGCACATGGACTTGAACTTTATAATAATTATTTTCAATTATTTCATTTTCTGTAGGTGCTGATTCTTTCTTTCATTAATGTGTTGTAAGCTGAACTTATGTTTGAATGTCTGATATTGGATTTTTGTTCATAGCTGCATTTTACACACCATTTTTTAAAGAAGTCTGGGAGAAGAAACCTGAAATTGAGCAAGCTTTTCATATGGAAGAACCTGTTAATTTGAATGACTCAGGGGAAGGGACTTTAGAAAGACCTTCACGACATCCATTACCTCCACCAAGACATGAAAGTTATCACATAAAAACAACAGAATCCAATGAAGGGTATGGAATGCTTTTGTTACCTTTGTATGTGAAATAAGTACTTAAAGCCTACCCTAACTGTTAGTGCCCAATTTAACAAATACTGAAATGTAACGTGTACGATGAATATATGTTTTAATAATATGAAGTTGAAATATGTGATAGATTTTTTCACGTGTTTCTGAATTCATTGTTTTGAACCTATTTATGTTTATAAATTGGAAATATTGTAGTTTGGTATTGGAATTAAACTGATTTTTATTTTAAATCGTGAAACTACAATCAGTGTTTGCCCTTTGATCTATCCTTTTACTTTACAATTGGTAGATAATGAATCTCTACAAAATTTGTACATATTAAAGGTAGGGACATCTGACGAAGTTGTAATAAATATTTTTGTAGCCCTATAATTTACTAGTGTTAAATTCCTGTGGCTCCCATTCAGTTTCATATTGTGTTTACTTTCCTGATATATTTTATCAATGTCATATTTATTACTGTATTATAATCAGATTCATATGCAAATATTCCCAATATATTTTATATTCATCTGTTACCATACCGATGTCATTTTGCAAAATACCAGTTTAAATTTTTTATCAATTTTTTTTTCACTGGGCCATAAGAATCCGTGACAAGATTCATTCAGCTGCCAAACTACTGTTGTGTCCTGTAACCCAAGCCTTTTGCCGCTTATCTCACACACTGCTTAGAAGGGTTAAATGCTTCAATAAAATTCTTACAATTCAAGACTATTACTTGCTCATTCTACTACAATTAACTATGAATCATTATAAGATTGATTCATTTTGCAGAACTGCTCAGAAAGACTTGTGGAACCGTATTAGGGATATTATTGTTACCGTTTCAGTGTGTTAAAAGATATTTATATTATAGCAAAAAATAAAGGGTGTTTTCCCCTCAAAACATATAGGGAGCAATAGCAATTTAAATGGGATCTATCTTCTAAATATTTTAGAAAGATAACAATGGCTTTTTAATTTTGTGAAACATTAGAGTGAATTTTTTCAGTTAATTATTTTAGATTTCTTTCCTTGAACTGGTTACCTCAAATCTTATCATGAATGATATTTGTCTCATGTACTTTTCTCCTCTTCCCAGAAGTGGATCTGAGATTTATGAAAGATTACCTACTGATGCATCTCTGGTGGATGATTTGAATGAACCCTTGTCAGCAACTTTTCCTGATGATCGTTTAATAAGTCCAAGTGATGACAGTGAAATTTATTCTCATGTTGATATATATAACCAAGAAAATAGTGACCAAATGGTGAAACCAAGTGATATTAAAAATAATGAGAAGTTGCATCATGGTAAGTGAAATTATCTGTCTTCAAAATTGTTTTTTCTATTTATTATCTTGTACATCAATGTGGAAAATTATTTATTATACATATGGTTATTTTTGAAAACTTAAACTATGTCGAAAGAGAAGAAGTTCTTACACCAAAATGTTATCTTTTTATCTTAATTCTGTAACTAAATTTCCTGGAAGACATCTGCTTTCCTAATCCCATTGTAAAAGAAAACTTTTTTTTTAATATGGTTGCTGATTTTTGTGCTTTATTTTCAGTAACTTCATCATAAATTACTTTATTCCTTGTATCAAGTAAATTTGTATAATTCTGTTGAACATGCCCATATTTCATTTGAATTATGGTTTTTGGATTATGAAAAATGAAATTGTTTGCTTCACTGGTTCTCTCAGTAACATTGATGAAATTTTGTTCCAATTTATTGTACACTCTTATTTTTTAACCAACCTGTTAAGGACAATTTTTTTGAGGTTTGCTTGATTGACATACGTTCATGTAGATTTCTCATTTACAGACAATCTAAGTAACTTATTTCCATCGCATGTGTAAGAGTAGGAATATATATCTTATTCCTAGTATATGGGTTGAAAATGCTGTAATTTACTATGTGAAAATAATTACTTTTTGATCATTGTCTGGTGGTATATATTTCTTGTAACCTGAATTTTTCTGTGCCTTCTCATGTGTATTTTTGAAAGCTTCACATCTTTGTATATAGATATGTGTTGTATTACATTTTGCATAGATTTGATGAATTTTGTAGACCTCCATATGTTGAATGATATTACTATTATGAATCATTATTATTTGAAATTTTATTTTTACACACAATTTTTGAATCTTGACTTTTAATTTTCTGAATTTATTCTGAAGAATATTACTTCGTTGCTCTAGTCAAAACTTATTACTATTCAACAGTAGAAACCATGATTAATTCTATATATAAAAAATTTCAACTATACTTAGCTTTTTATAACATGGCATGTCAGGACCTCGTCACAATGGAATATCTCACGGCATTTCACGTCTTTCTCAGTCGTGCTGCTAGGCACATTTCACTGCTTGATATCGTCGCTATCATGCGACATCTAGTGGCACAACCAAGAAAGACTTCAAAATGCTGTGAGATATAACATCGTGAAGACAGGCCCTGATGTGCCATATTATAAAAACGAAAGAATAACGATTTGTTAGAATTTTCTTTTACAACTAAGTCGTCTTCCTTATTATTGGGGAATATAAAATTGAGTGTTAGGATTTGCTTTGTTAACCATATATCTCCATAGAGATTACAGAAAAATATTTCCTCACGCAGAGATTTTTGTATTGAGTTTTAAATTTTAAGGGAATAACATACGTTTACGTATATCTTGCTCTTTTCTTTTTTATTTGCAATGAACTTGTCAGGAATGTAAAGCAGTTGTGAGAAGTTATTTTACATGTCCCAAATCAATTTTATTTCCTACTATGATTTTAGGAAAAATGTGGACCAAAGTAATGGGAGAAAAAAATTATCACCTCCTTGTCCTCACAAAATAAATTGCCCCAACACAATGTTGTAAATAATTTGTGGTTATTTAGCTTTGAAATTCGTTTTTTACAAAACCATAACTTTCTCAAATTAATGTTGGAATGACCATTCTGATCATTTAAATTCATCTTGAAAATGTACTTCTTTAAAGTAAATACATTTGAGAAAGAAATTCAGATATGTTTATTTTGACACTCATTGTGATGGCACTGTGTCAGATAGCTTAGTTTCACAATCCAGTTAGGCAAGTACAACCCATTCAGCTGACGAGTACCAGAGTTCTGGTGTTAAGACAATTTAAGTGTAGTAGTAACCTTAGCGAATTATTACCTCAAGGGACGTCAAATATTTTTGGGATAATAACAATTGTCACTGGAGATTTTGTTGTCTCTGAGGAGAGTGAATCATGTTGTGGCTATTTGTTTGTGATTCTGTTTGCAAATTTTACATACAACCCCAAATGCATGGCAGGAGGAGTTATTTCTTTGTAAAGCACATGGGAATTTTGGGGATGAGCTGGGGAGATAATTTTATCATTTCAACATGAATAGTCTTTGGAACTGCAGTAGCATTTGCTGTTTACATTTCTTGGTTGGAGGAATGCTGTAAATTTTGTTTGTTTCCTGCGTTTGGATTTGTTAACTGTAACTGGTGACTTAGATTTCCAGGTGTATCCCCAACCCACTACTCCCCCCGAGCCAGCACCTCCTGACTACCTCCCGCGGCGCCTGATGAAGGCTTCTACTCTGCCAACGGGCTCCCACACAAGTCTGGATGAGATAACATGTAATTGAATCTTCCTTCATGATGCATGCTCTGTTTGCATTGGAATGCTAGTTTGACGGATTGTGTGATGCTTATGTTTTAATAGTGTTTCTTTGTTTCATTGATAAAAACAAGAACATGATTGATGTATTTGCATTGCAGATGATGCTAGAAGCATTTCCTGAGGAGCAACAATTTGTAGATCCCACTTAGTTTGTTTAATTACCTGTGTGTGTGGTGCAGTTACGAGTTTTCAGTGAGCAATGTAGTAACATCACTTCTATTCTTGTTTTAATCAGAGCTGAAATATCTTGTTTATACTACCAGACTAGCTTGTAGTAATGTAAGTTGGAGATTTTGCTTTTCTTATTTTCCTCTTTGAGGATATTAACTTAACTTCAATACAATTTGCTTGTGACTCCTCTCTTGTTTTTATTGTTTCTCTAATCTTCTATTGTCTATGAAATAGCTTGTAGTATATTGGGAGCAATTAGAATAGAAAATTAGAAGTTGTATATGCAGTGTTGCTCCTCTTTGTTGTTCTTTCTTTATTTTGAAGAGTAGTGCTGAAAAATACAGTGTACTCCCTGATTTTATTAGGTGAAGGTTGTATTTTTTATTTCCTCTTTTTTCTTTTTTCAATGTAACATACATAAGTTCATGAATATGTAATCAGCAAGTTCATTAATCTCAAGTAGATTTTAATGGGAAACAAATTGAGTTTGATTTAAATTCAACCTATAGTTACTCATTTTTATTCATGACATAATGGTGAAATAGAACCTTTGATGTTTATAGTGATTGTTGCTTTTGATGTTACTCTTTGTTATCAGTATCATCAATGTTTCATGTTGTTGACAAATTTGATGGCCACTTTTACTTGATATCATTGTTTTGAGTTGAATACACTACAGGAAGTTCTGAGAATTTTCCTATTTTGAGGAAAATTGTATCTTGTGCTTCCTTTACTTTAAGGCTATTGGGGGCTTAAGGCTAACTAACAAACAGATACACATGTTTTTAAAAATAATTTACGCTGTGAAGTTCAAAACTAAACAACAATAACAACAAAGAAACAATTTTTCAAATTGCTTTTCGCACTTCCAGGAAGAATATGAAAAATAGGCTTGTAGAAAAAACTTCAATTGCCATCACCTATCAGAAAGAATTTTATGATATTAATGAGATTTTCTACAGTAAGGCTCAATTTTTGATCTGGAAACAGCATTTGCCATCTTATAAAATTCACCTTGTGAAGCGCATTTCCCAAATAAAATAGTAACAAATTTGTGTGTTTGTTTTTTGTTGTTGTTGTTAGACAGGTTTGAAAAAGTGGTCAAGTTGTGCACTGGCAAATTGCATCCTTAATTCAATGATGTATCAAACACCAAAACCAGATTCACATTCATTATGCCTAAATCTAATGGTTCAATAAATCGAAAATTGCAAATTTTTGTGTGGGAGTTTGGAGATAACCATTTCAGTACAGATGGCACTGTTGTGTAAACTGTGCGAACTTAAAAGTAGTTTAATGTTGAACAACACTGCAATACAGCAAAACAAAAACAACTCAACTCGAAATGTTACATTACAGAACAGTGAATAGCACCTGTTCCAGTTTATTTTCTCACCATCAGTAAGCAAAACTATTTTACCAAGGATTTATGTACAATGATGAAGTCTGTTGATATACCTCTAGGGAAAGTTAATAATCTGTTCTTCATCAATTTTTTGAAGTACAATAATCAGCACGTTCAAAATGCAACACTACTTCACAGCAAGTACTTGACTACCTAATACAAAGAGATTTTAAGTAGAATACGATCCTGCGTGGTTGATAACAAGATATGAGTTTCTATGGATGAAACTGTTGATGAAGGAGATGGTATGTGGCTAATGGTGTTCGGGTGTTTTAAAGGGACATTGAGCTGGAGATAAATTTCTCGTTTCCTGTGAAGTATTGAATAGAACCTGCCAATTGCTATTTCCTTTGATAGTGCAATGGATCTGTTGTGGCCTAAAGAAACGAAGAGAGAAAATGTTCTACTTCCACTTCAAATTACAGGTGCAATTCCTTACAAGATACATGCTGACAAAGGTCTGCAGCTCTCTTCTCTAAAATGATACAAGCATGAAGCATTGTGCATGTGCGCATACACACATACGAAATAGAGTTGTAGAAGAAATTCATGCAGATTATCCTGATGTGGATAAGTTAATTTCCATACTGAAAAAAATCTTCATCAAAGTTTCTTGCAAGTGCAAAAATTCAAGGAAATGGTTCCTTCAATGCCGTTGCATCTTCAAACCATTTTCACATGTTGGGGCACGTGGCTTAATGCCACAAACTAATTATCTACCAATTACAAAGCTATCAAACATGTTAACACATTCAATGAAGGCAAAAGCTATATCTGTTTTCAAGAACCATGCTAACCGGTGATCTTGCTTATATAAAGTCTAATTTCAACATAATGTCATCAACAATCATACAATTAGAAGAAACTGGCATTCAACTCTGATGCCTTGCCACTGGTGAAAAATGTTGAAGGTGAGTGAGATAAATGTGATGAAGTCAGTAAATGTGTAAATGACAAATGACAATGTGTGGTGAGCCAGACTGAAATGTACACAACTCTCATGAAGAATAGCGACCTTCTGTATGACAAGTTGGAAACATCCTTCGAAAGGGATCTCAATT